TCTCATCACCAGGAAAAGAGATGATACCTTCTGTAAATCCACTTTGCCGACAAAATCAACATTTCGTGACCAATGACAGCCATTATCTAGTTGTCACGCAGTACTCTCCAGAAGAAAACGCGTGACGTTGTAAGTTTAAAAGGTCACGGAGGATATTTTGATGTAGTTTGGTGAATGATCAATTTATTTGATGGAAATTGAAATTGCATTGATTATAATCTCAATGTTACTTGTTTTAGCAGTTCTTGATTTTCCTGATTTTAGCAATTTCTGTGAAACTATAAAAACTGCCAAAGAAATTGCAATGCGGAATTTGTTAGCATTCTTTACGAACTTTTCTTTGTTACAAAGAGGAATTTGCAACTCGTACTTCAACATGCATTATATTAGGCATAAATACGCCCTTGGCATGGTTGATGACGTACCATCAGAACAGCATTACCGCGAAAAAAAAGGTAAATTTAAGGTTTTACAATCGATGCAGTGTCAATACGCATTCACAAGTGCAGGTTACGTGAATTATAAGCTGATTACTGAAAATATCGAAATATTTTTGGGAGACAGGCCAGAGGAATATTTGTATGATGACGTGAACATGTGAAGTTGATATGATAGCAGTGCATGTGAAGCTAAATTATTGAATGATCAGTAACCAGGACTGAAAATAAATGTATTTTTTTTGTAGAACTGGACGGTATTTTGTTTTCACTTTGAAGTGTCCATGAAGTTATATCTGATAAAGCTTTTTTTTACTGAAAAGAAAAAGATCGTTGCATCGAAAGTACTAACTTGTCCGTTCTTGCTTTCGTACACGTGATCTTCTCAATGGTCCCAATTGTTACAAAAAGCTGAAGGTTACGATGAGAATCGGCCTTGCCTAACTCTGATGAAACAAATAATCACAACAAATCACAGCTAAAATCTACGCAAACAATTTGTGAAGGATGATACATTACAGGGGGAAATTTTGAAAGAAGTAAATCCTCTCTCGTGCTCGTTACATGTGCCTGCACGTCTATAAAGTCTGCAAGTCGATTTTGTGAGGACAAACCTTGATCTCGGGGAAAACCGCCACAGAAATGGATTTTTCAGAATGTTGATTATGGCTACGTTCAAACGAAACCGGACGAGTTTTCGATCGGTGGAAAATTCATGCGTCTGGGCGTTTCGTTCTCATGGAACCATGCCAAATGTACGAAAATTTGAACGCCGAAGCGTTCAAAAATTTGAACACCAAAATCGAGGACGAATTTATAGCCGGTGCAGTCAACAATTTTACCGCCACGGTGTGAACACCTTAAACATCGAAATTTTTGTACAGCGAAGGCGTGGCTGCATGGATACGTGGTAACTAGGCTAAATAACATGTTTACAATTGTATACGGAAATGGAACGTGTTGGTTCATTGATTGCAGTGCTCGGTAATATTACAACTTTTTGGCATAACATTATCTTGTAAATGTGTAGACCATGCCGGACTTACCACGCACGTAAGCGACGTTGTGTTGGTGTTTTGATAACGTCAGAAAATCAACATTTAAAACTTCGCACGTCTATCTGTAAATCGAAGACGTCGAAGCAGCAGAAACTCTGAACGCCATTTTGCTCTGGGTTAAGAAGCGTTCTGCGCATGAGGAGACGGTAAAACACTCAAAAATGTCGCAAAATCAATCCTGTTATTAGTCTCATCTGAACAGAACGAAACTTTCGAACGATTCCGCGTGTACAGAGTGTCCGGTCGAAACTTTCGGCCTGTCGAAAATTCGTCCAGTACTGTGTGAACGTAGCCTAATTCTTTCAAGTGTGGGGTACTTTAATGCGCATAACGCTTACAGGAAATTTTTTGTTCTCATAGATAACTGTGTTATGGAGGCAGAAAGCACGGCAGATTAAAAGAACAACAGCAACAATAACAACTAATTGAAATCTAGCGTGGGTTTTCAGACCCAAAAAAGCTCCTCTGAATAGTACGATAAAGACAAAAAATATTTTTCTTGCATCTTCGTACAAAAAAAGAACACAAAAGACCTATATCATTGGTCAGAGAATTTCCACAATCTGTTTCAAGTTAAAGTTGACAAGTGGGAACAGTAAAACAAATTTTCGCTAACAAATGACAGCCGGCATCAACTCACAGAATGCCGATATTACAATTGTCATAGCAGCAGCAATGGAATACACATGTGGGTTACATTTCCATCCTGAGTGTTGCATTCTGACCCATCACAGTGGATGTGCAGTCCACACATTTTAGAGAAGTGAGTTTTAGTTACTCCTCCAGGGTTTGTCTCGGTAAGCACTTTTATCTGGCAGGCAGAGCCTTTTTCACCAACTTGGCATAGCTACGACTGTAGCTTACTTTCGCAATCAGCCCATGATTTATCTGAGTAACAGCCCCAACAATAAAGACAGAGCGCTGCACAAAGGTAAACAATCAAAAATTACTTCGCTCCAGGAAAGACTGTCTGTCTTGGCGGTAAAGGGGATTTTGGGGAACTCTCTCTCACAAAAGAGAGGGGTGCCCCTCATTATTTCTGGCCAGGGGGGTCTGAGTTTTTTTTTTTTTTTGGCGGAGAGATCACATGATTTTTAGGGGGAAAAGGAATGGGAATCAGTACTATCTAGCAGAGTTCGAAGAGGGGACTATAGAAAAATTGATTGGCACTGAGGGGTAATCATTAGAATACTAAAGAACCTAATGGGGGATCAGGAAAATTTTACTGTGCCACAACTAAAATACTCCATCCCCCTTTTCCCCCCCCCTCCCCCAGTGATAAATAATGACTGCTTCCAACGGTAGTTTTAAGCATTCCCGTCTACTTCAACCCTAAGTAAGACTAGTTTCTCCGTGAAAAGTGAGGGGAGTGGAATGTTTGCATTGTGAATGTCATTGTCTTGACCCACCCCCCCCCCTCCAATTTGCTTCAATATTTCTTGAAAAGCATTCTGGGTTCTTACGCTCGAATAAGAGAAATAATCCATCAGAAATGGTTTTCGTCCCCCTTCCCCCGCTCCCTCCCCGATTGATAATGAGATTATCACACCATATACTCTATTGTGACATATTTGTTAAATATCCTCTCCAGGAATTCTCAGTATTGCTTTCAATAAATCTTCCAGGGTGATCGCTTAGATGTCGAATACCAAGAGCTCTAATATCCAGATGAAACTTAGGATCACCATATAATTGGCTGAGACAGCTCGATAAAAACAACCACCACCACCAACATCCAGAGGTCTTAGTCCATATTTTGGCTGTCTTGTCGCTAATCGCTGATACGTGAATGGTTTTGTGGTGAAATTTTCTCTACAGAACCAGGGTTCATTACAATGTCACCAGACTTCAACAGCTTTGTATCAGACACAGAATATTGCTTACTTTTAATGTTTTTGCAATAATTCTTACATGTAAGTTTATGCAATACTTTAAATAAAAAATTCTCAGTGTAAAAGAGTGCCATAGGAGTCGATTTCCTAAGAACCATTTACGCTTTTGTCTAAGTTTTCTTTTCCTCATGGTTTGGATCACTTTTTTGACGGCAATTCTAGACCGTTCCTTGTCTCTAAAATGCAAGTGTCGACCGATCTTCGATTGTTTACAAAGCTATCTTAAAGTGAGTCCGTATACAGTAGTTAAAACCTCATTAGAACTATATTCATTATTTAAATTTAACTTGTCAAATTTGTCAGCAATAATTCCAGAAGAACTTTAGGAATGATTCACCATCGCTTTCATGTGGTTATTTTCTCGACCATTGAAAAATTTACATGGAACAGTTTGACAGTCACGTGCTACTTGTAATTTAGCGTTTTGATTTCCCCCAAAAGCTTTGTTCATCCCGTAAATGGCTCGATATTCCTACAAGGCGAAAGAGGCTCATGTTTACCCTGAAAGGGCTTTTATTTTCCTTCAAGGCTTCAGTAAACGCGTATATTTTTTATATTTTTTTTTACATTTTACAACCTTTGCTTATTTGCTCGTCTCAATCAGCAAAGCGGTTAAAAAATAATGTTTGCATGATATACGATTTTGATTTAGGGATGTTGCATATACATCTTAAAATTATACTATTAATAATATTGGCTACCCTCAACAGGTAAATCACTCACAGAACGCCCGGGACTCCCACTTAGATTACGGTTTTTGGCACGTGAAGCTTACCATTGAGAAATCAGTCAAATCCACGAGTCTCTGGCAATTTCTGATATTGATCCGAGAAGGCCATACTTGGGAACTTCCCTCGATGGGATTATTGAATGCAAATGCTGTGGGATGGGTGTATGTGAAAAAAAATTTTCCACATGCATACAAGGATTCCACAATCTCTGAGGCTGTTGGCCAGAAGAACTTGCAAACTGAATTGTCAAATAATGAACTTTGCTGGGAAATTTGCAATAGTGGTTTGTTACATGTAAAAATCTAAGTGATCATTCGACCGGGATTTGTCACAGAAACTGAACAAATCCTTTCTTGTCCATGGTGCACCTCAAAGCTGTGTTTTAACAATATTCACCAACATGAAAATTACTTTATAAATGCCTAAAAGCAATCAGTTATTACTGCTACTTCATTTCCAAGCTCTTTTTGAAGACTGATGGCATACTTTTTCTTAGCTCTTCTCTCTGTGGTCATAGTATGAGAAATTGCAAGCATGTACTAATGATATCAATCCGACTTGTCAAATATCCAGCTAACAGTTGAAACAGAGATCCCAAATCGGTATGCTGAGTCTCGAAATGGACAGTTCAGCCTGGAACAGGAAGTTGACAGTTAGGTAGGCCCATACGTCACGTGACCAAACACCCCCTGATTTTCCAGCCATGTCTGAATGTAATGTCAACAAAAGGTGCGGTTTGGAAAAATTGATCGTATGAAGCAAACTACTAATCTGTTTTATCGAGGCTGAATATCTCTATTTCAATGCATTTGGCTTGAGAAGGAATGAATTCTGCTTCTGGTGGAGAGTTTTAATTTGTGTTGGAATTGTGAAGAGCTTTGGCAACGCGAGTATCATGGACGAACGAAAGAGGAGGGAAAATCTCGAGACTTACATTCAAGATCCACGGAGTGAACTGTACATTGACGCGCTTTTGGTGAGTTAATGGCTGCTTCATTCAACTGTCGTACTGTCAGGTGACTCAAGATTTTACTTTGCTCTGTTTTGCCAGGATGCAATTCAGTCGCTGGTGTGCGATTGTGATTTTCCAGCCCCAAGAGGCAATAAGAATTTCGAAAACTTCCTACAAAGATGTGAGTAGTTTTGGTGTCCTAATAATTGCTAGCAGTTTTTGAGAGGCACATACTAAGATTGATTTGATTGTTTGTCAGATGAGAAACCGAGTGAAGTAATCGAAGAATGTCGTTTGAATGTAAGAGACTTTAAGGTCGTAAAAGTCATCGGCCGTGGTGCTTTTGGTGAAGTTCAGTTGGTAGGTTACTCATCCTGCATAAACCACGAGCAATAGCTGTAATTTATACTTCCAACTGCGTGATTGCCGTTTTTAGGAGTCGGTTAAACTGATCATATGCAAATTGCCTTCTACCCTTACCAAAGCTGTTGATATGGAACATATATGGTCCAAATATGGAAATGGTATGGGACAACATATGGCTAATCTATGGGCATTGCATGGTTTTTATATGGGATGTTAGCTCCCATATCAAACCCATAAATAGTGACTAGTGCCCGCCAAGTGCATTCTATTGTCTTTCACTATGGGATTTCTACGTATTTCGTAAAGTTCCATACATTCCCCATAGGATCTGGTATGGGAATGGTATGGGTCAGTCCCATAGTGATGCCATATGATGGCTGAACATTCTCTATGGGATTGCTACGTATTTCGTAAAGTTCCATATATTCCCCATAGTATCCATTAGGGGAATGGTATGCAACAATCCCATACCATTCCCATAATGACCCTGGACCATTCTCTATGGGATTGCTATGGGATTTTAAAGTTCCATATCATTCCCATAGCATTCAGCAAAGCTGACATCTCATATGGGAACACTATGGGGTCCTTTGACTTCAGCCCCATATCTTTACCATATGATTCAGAAATTACTAAAGGGACTGTGAGGTTAAAGGCAAGTAATGGTGACATCATATTCGTCCATTGAAACCATATCTTTAATTGCATCTAAAATTTCTTGCAAAAAAAATTGAATAAAAATAACAAAAAACCAAAAATCTTATATTTCTTCTAGGTCAACACTATGAAACCAGTAGTTTTCCTCTCGCTCAACACTATCATTAACAACACTACTTTTTTTTATCAAGCAATACGACTTAACTTGCCAACTCTGTCAAATTGTTACTCTTCTTTTTGATCGACACTATAATACGGTTACTGTTATTTTTGGCCAAGACTATGAAACTGTTATTCTGTATTTTGGTCAACATTATCAAACAGAAATTTTCTTTTTGGTCAACATAATGAAATTGGTAAACTCTTGAAGTTAAACAGTTTTACAGTAATTATAAAAAGTGTTCATTCTGCTCGTTGCTCTCGTACTCTTGGGGGCCTTCTAGCTTCCACACATTTCATGTTTATCTTCTGTATGATTTGGCTTGGTTGAGGAGAGTCCTTTGAAAACTTTGAACAGACTTTACCTGAAAAAAAAAGTTTAAGTTAATATTAAGTCATATTTACATGTAAAACAGTACCCCAACTTATACGTGGAATGTTGCCTTACCAAGAAACAAAAATTGCTTGATTGGAGGTAATCAATTGTAATGGGTTCTGTTTTGTTTGCTTGATTTATAAAATTAATAACTTAATTGAAAGCTCAGTGACATTATTTTTTTTTTCATTTACTGGTGTCTTAATTATCTCTGCTGTGGCTAAGGGAGTAAGATTAAAACCTTTAGATCAGTTTTATACATTTTTTGTGGAAGTTTCAATCCAGGTTAATTGTAATGGGCTGCAATGGAAACTACTGGGATTCCAGTACTTTGTGTCCAAATAAAATTCTTTCTGCTTCAATTCTATATCATAATTATTGCATGCAAGTTTGTATTAAATTGCTTATTTTTTAAGGACAACAATGCCTTAAAAACCCAGTCAATTCAAGTTCTAATTAGTGAGTTAGAGATCCCCATGACTGCAAGTTATGTACTTATTTCTGAATAAAATAATTCAGTGTTGCACTACTTACCAACAAGGGCATCAATGATGAGGGGGGTCAACGGAATGTTTGCATCACCGCTTTTGCCTTTTCTGTCACTTCCCCTTGCACTTGAAATTGCAAGTGTTTCTTTGGTGAAGAATATGTCAACAACAGCGTTGACATATCCGGACCAGGACTTGAACGCAGAACAGTAGGCCCGTTGGTGAGGGTACCAGAAGACACTGGATCCCTCCATGACCTCTACCATCTGTAAATAAAAAAAACGTATACTAAGTTATATTTTAGTCTGTTTGTGACCTCTACATTTGGCAAAAATTATAAACAACTAAGGTGCATGTACTTACGGCCTTAACGTAGTAAACAGGCATACTTTTCGGATTACAATCATTGAAACTTGCTCTTGGATAGACTGATCAGTAAAGAGTTCTTTTCACTGATCTGACAACATGCATGCTTGTCGATCACTTTGTGCTTTCATAAACACGATTCAATCGAGTTGCTTACCTTCTCTTAGACGCGCTGGAGCACTTCTTTTCCTTGAATTTCTTTCCATCTTTTCTTGCAGTGGAAATAGGCAAACAAACCTTAAAACTCGCTCTGTATAAGTAACAAACTCTCTGAAGAAAGGCTTGCCGAAATGTGTGAAAAATTTGAAAAGGACGCGCATTTCGGCGTGGGTCTGAAGGGCTCTCGTTATTGGTCAATTTAACACCACGTGTTCTTGTGTTGAGTCCGAAAGTCCACTACGCACGCGCACTTGAATAACAACACGTGTGGGGTTAACGTGTGAGGGACCGGGAACTAGACTTTAAGTCAACAAACATGGCCGACGATGGCGAGAAGGTTGCACGAAAACAAAGAGGTCGCTACCGAGAATACATGCGTCATTCTAATCCATACAAATTTCCAGCGGCAAGAAGACGAAAAGGCAACCTCTATAAAGCGAAACAATCATCAACTGGTACACGAAATGATTTAAACAAATGCGATGTTGAAGAAATGATTCCCGACACGCGACATGCACAGCCTCTTTGTACTGGCGATCCTGCTGAAATATTCGAAGCAGAAACAAACAGCATGATTTTAGGTGAAGACTGCAGCTATTTTCAAGTGCAAGACATGGAAGATTCAAGCACATTTGGATTGGAAGAAGAAAATAATTCGAGGATAAGCGGAGACGAATTTGAACTGTTTGATTCCGCGGATACTAACACTTTTGAACAATTTGTCAAAGACGAGGATGCTTGCTCGGACATTTTCAGTGACTGTGAGAACCCTGATGAAATAGACACTGAATGCATTCCAGAACATTGTGGAGCAGAATCAGATGACATGCTATATTCGGGAGCTCCAATCACAAGTAACTCAAGTGTTGTGTTGTTGCTATCTTTCGTGTTTAAGCACAAGCTTACACGTGAAGCATTCAATGATTTGCTTGCAGTAATAGAGGCTCACTGTCCCCGGCCTAACAACTGCAAGACAACAGTAAACAACCTGTTCCAATTTCTGAGCAGAGCGAAGGGAAATGTTGTCAAGCATTACTTCTGTGGTTTCTGCAAGGCATATTATGGCAAAGATGTCAAAGGAAACTGTACCATTTGTGGCAAAAGCATCCAAAACAACGGTGGATTCTTCATTGAAGTGCCTATTGAAAATCAGCTGCTTAAGTTTTTCTCTGGTAAGTGCAAGACTAAGTATGTAATTGTGTTTATTATTATTGGCTAAACTTCAGAATACCCAGCCACTTTTCAAGTATTTTCAAATGCTACTACCACAGTCCAACAGTCGTCATAATTTATAACATAATATCGTTATTATTTTCATTATCTATAACAAAATTCTGGTTCTGGAGAGGCCTATTTGTCATGTAATTGGTGCATGATCAGGTTGGTACTGTACATGTACTGGTATCCAATGTCTGCATACTTCAAATCGGATACCTGTAATTGGACACCTACGTCATTTGCAAGTCAATCGACATCAATGGACAGTTTTTTGGGTCCGGGGAGGTGGGGATTTCACACAAATCATGTGCATTCTGATACAGGGATTTGAACCTGGAACTGCAAAAATTAATGCATGCCTCTTTTGCATATGAGCTGTTACTGAATACAATTTAAGCATAGATTACAGGGAAATGTAAAATGCTAGTATGCCCTCTACATCAAGAACGTTCAGCTATGTTTTATACAAGGGTCTCTTTTTCTTCAGATTCAGAATTTGTTGATGGACTAAAGTACCGATTTCACCGAGTTAAGAGGGCTGAAGACAATATAGAAGATGTCTATGATGGTTCCCTTTACAAAAGCAAGAGTGGTCCAGGTGGATTTCTTCTTGTATACATGTACATGCATTTTCTTTTGCAAATTTTAGACCAAAAATTGTCACTGGCCTGCCAATGCAAAGCGATGAACATCAACAATGATTGTATAAATTCAAATCACTGAATTTTTTTTGCATTCAAGCTTCGTCATCAGTCTTCAACACACAATCGGACGCATAAGGCCTTGCATTTAAGCTTACTGAAGCCTTATTACATTAAATTTTCGCACCACATTAATTTTGTGATTTTGAGGTTTATGCATTTCACAATTTTGCAAAAGGTTTTGTATTTTGAGTCACTTTTATTCTGTGTTTATCAGTGAGGTGATTTACCTTTTTGGCAATTTACTGTAAAAATTCTTTGACCTAAATATAAGGATTGTTGTACAAATAAGTTTCAAAAACTATTATGTTATCAAGCTTCAGGTCCGTTGACACTCACATCTTCAAAGTTAACTTCACTTTTCATTTTCTTTTGGACTTGCAAACTGTAATTTAACTTATTCTTTCTTGATTTTTACCTAATGCATCACATAATTTTCACATCATGTTATGTACACAAAACTTGTTTTTCATGCCACTTAAACTTTTCAATATTTTAAAATTAATTGCCAAATTCGCAAAGTTTAGGCATTGCAAAGATTTCATGTAATAAGGAACATGTAGCTTGTTATTTTCCTACTTACAGTCTGCAAAGATTTCATTTAATATAAAGCCTTGAATCTTTGCTACCAAACTTAATTTTTCAAACATGAAAAACTTTTTTGAAAAAAGGCCTTCAGTTCATGGTGACAATGAGAAGGATCTATTATTCAACAAAGTATGATGCAGTATATGCATGTTGATATTGTTGTAAGTTTCATAAAACTCAAGTTAACACTTGAATTATGACATGTAACACAATGACAATGCATAGGTGAACAGAAACTTGAATGAAATTTTCATCTATTTTTATTAGGGAAGCATGTCAGAGTGTTGCAAAGTTATCTCTTGACTCATGTAAAATATTCTTAGACTTTTATGGTCATTTCAGTTAAAAAAAATGTAGCCTGTCAGAATAATTAATGGTTTTTGCTCTCTGTTTACAATAGAGGACATTATTGTCTCAGTCCAATTAATAAAATTGTCAATTACTCAATGTGTGGACATGTGTTTTCCATTGCCATTATGAGCATAGATATGTCCCATAGATTTCCCATAGAACTACTGTCATGGGAGATCTTTGGGAAACAAGAGCTGAAATGGTTGAAATATGGAGAGTGAATGTCCCATAGAGATCCCATACAGTTTTCACAATGGGAAATCTATGGGGCATGATGAACACCTGTCAGCTGGTATGGGTAATCTATGGTATACTCTTCATAATGAATGTCCCATATCAATGCCATAGGTAAGGACAGTTGTGGGAATTCTTATTGGTATGGGATGTGTATGGGAACCTTATTCCCATAGGTTTCCCATAAAATAAGAAGCCTTCTATTTTCTTCCCATGCATGTCCCATAGTTAAAAATTTGGTAAAATTTGGCCCCATACCAATTCCATATACCCAGGTTACCTTCCCATACCATTCCCATCTATGGGTCAGATATGGTCCAAGCAGTCCCATACCATTCCCATACTTTTGCTTTGGTAAGGGAAATTCCATTGTCAGCTAATCCCATGAGCAGCTTACATTGGTTGTTGACACTTTCAATTGTTGTTAAATCCAATACCTTCAATAGATGTCAACAGTTGTATCTCTTTTTGTAAAAACTCTAGGTGACACTCCGTTTGATGCTGACTCAATTGTAGAAACCCATGGTATGCAAATTTTGTTGTGCAGTTGTTGGCAATTCCAACGTTGCAAATGAGGGTTTAATGTCATAGATCTGGGCCCCTGAAACTGTTTTCCCATACCAGGGATATTAAAACATTCCTCTTGTTCTCACCTTACTTGTAACAAATAAACATGAACCTCAATTTATGAACCTTTCCTTGAAACCCATCACAATATAGCTTGGATTTTGGAAGGTCTTTTGTCACTGACTCTAACCTCCATCCTGTGCTCACTGGAAGAAACATAGAAAACGATCTTGGGACCATCCAAGAATCAAAATTATCAACAAGGCCATTACAGTGAAAATGTAAATCTCTACCATATTTGCATGGAAAACACTTTTAAAGTTTTAGACTAGTCAGAGTGGTGCTTACTCAGCAGAAGAGCTTATTTGGAGATGGCACTAACTTAAAAATGTTCATTTACAACAAACTAAGGTAACCACACCTGATCTTTACTTTGCTGGTTTTTTTCCTTTTATCCACAAATGATATAAACATTCAAAGAATTATGAAGTGCAAAGTTTCCTTTCTTTTCTCACGTGGTGTGTGATTGATCTTAGTTTAATTAAGATACATCTGTAACTCCAGGTAATTTCTTTTCTACAGGTCTGCTTGAACTATTTTTATTAATTTCTGGGTATGGGAGATGCAGTGGCTGTAACACTTAGGGGGCTTGTCCTCAGGTTGAAAAGTGTGGGTTAGGGCCCTCACCAAGGTCTTATTGTCACATTCGCACAGTGGCCCACCCCCCTATTCACTCAGGAGTATAGATGTATACCAGTAAATTTAGTAAGGAAACGTGATGGCATTGTAAGGGGGACAGTTCCAACATCCCAACCAAAGGAATCAGGTGTGCTCTTCGTGTTTTTCTTGCAATGGAAACCAATGTGACCATACATGATTAAAACTATGCCAGTATGTATGGAGTATTACTGCATGTCATTTTCCTTGCTGTGCAACCTCAAAAATCAAAATTCACTGCAACTAGATTTTCTTTGGACCTACAATTCCTTTAGTCAAACAGCAGCTAACCACAATTTTATAAATCACATCAAATGATGTGGCTGATTTTATCGCACCTTGTTTTCTTCAAAGGAGTTTTATTGCCAGACAGTTTGATTTTAAGGTTGTTTCAATAAAAAATGATTCTTAACCCATGTGTGAATTATTTGTAGAACACAAAGAATTGGTCAGGAAGGAATTGCAGAAATACAAAACCATAAATTTTTCATTAATGACCAGTGGGAATGGGACACCATCAGAGAGGGTAATTATTGCAGACTAATTTTTGATGAATATCTGATTTAAACTCAGTATATTAATTAATGCTTTTGCCATAAAGAATCTAATGATCTCCCTTTTCATTATTTAAGTTACTAGTCTCTAACTTCAAATTTCAAAAAGCCTCCCTCTTCCCCCACCCTATTAAAAGGAAAACCTCTCAAAAACTAGTAGTTTTAATGTCATCTGTGCATGTTGCACTTACCGATAATAGGGGTACATCGAGGCCTATTTGTTGAGCTGCAGAGCAGTTCTGTTGAACATTATTACCTTCTTTTATGACTGCAATTAAAACTATGTCCATTCGGCATTGAATTTTGTTTCATTTTGTGGTTGTGAGTCTTTTTGAGTAATCAAACATTTAACAAATGGATTCTACATAGCCCAGCGTCTGTTCAGTAATAGGTCAAGGATGGGTTGGAAAGATATTCTGTGATCTATTACTGTGTTACCTGAAATCAATATGCAATGTGTTTGTTTTAAATAGTGTGTTTTTCTTAGTGACATCATCTATGCGCCTGTCCTCCAATAGATCATAAGCAAGAACTAATCAAAATGCTTGTATAGTTCAGCTCATCATATTATTGTTTATTTTGCACAGCTACTCCTCCTGTGGTCCCAGAGTTGGCCAGTGATGATGATTACTCAAACTTTGATGACATTTCTGATCCTAATAGTGGAGAGGAGTTCCTTCAACCTCCAGAGGTACTCTTTAGTTTCTGTTAAGTCAGGTGAAATAACAGTATCAGCTTAACTGTAATGCAGCATTGACACTGTTGCAGCCATTCTATATCCATTTAATTCAATGATGTCATTAGGGGCTAGTGTACTTATTTTTTCTAGTAATTTTAAAAGTTAGGTGGCTTTCAGCATGCCAAATCAGCTGGGTTTATGCATTGAAAATTAAAACTTGTTAATACAAGATATTACTTAGCTCGTTCAGGGCAACTCCACTCAGATATAATTGGGTATAACTTTTGAAATTGAGGTATGATAATTGAAACAGTGCTTTTGCGGCCAAGTGTATCATTAGAATCAAGACAGAACAGGGATATTTTTCTCATCTAAGTATAGATACAGGGATAGATCAAGTGAAAGGAGTAAAAGGCCTTTTTAGTATACTCAATTTTGTCGTGTGTGAAATTATTTGGCAGGCTTTTGCAGGGAATCATCTTCCTTTCATAGGATTCAGTTATTCAGAGAGTGCTAAGTAAGTGAAGTCTGTATAGTCTGTATTTACAGAATGTAGAAAAAATTCGTGTCCAATTTATGTGGGCAAATGACTTACAGATTTTGATTATGTTTGTCTGTTTGATTTACTAGTCTCATGTCCTGATGTGCTTAATCTAATGCACAGTTGAACAGTGATAGGAGTACCAAGCAGTGCTTATTCTCACTAATTCACTGAATTTCAATTTCTTTTAGATGGGGTAACTTCCATGGCAAATCAGGTTTAGACGGAATGGTGAGGATGATAAAAAGACACTTTCTCTCTCTGCCTTCAATTTTCGTTTCATTTACTATATCCTAATATGACGAGGTAAATTAATTTTTCTTCACTTCCTCAGGATGGAAATAGTTCTGGTGGTGGGAATGACAGTCGCTCAGAGGTAATTCTCTTTCAAGGCATTTTTTCTTACTTGACATTGACTGGGGCATCACCATGATAAATGCCTGCAAATAATAGTTAGTTCATGAGTAATACTTTCTAATTGTGGCTTGCTGCAACTTTTATGAACTTCTCTTACATTTTAATTGAGCAGCTTGAAGCAGCTAACCGCAGAATCAGAGATTTGGAAGTGCAGGTTTCACTGGAAATGCAAGCTAAGGATGAGCTGGATCATAATTACAGGTCAGAACACCTTGAGTAATTTACTAACCAACTAGCTGACTAACTAACTAACGAAAACCACTTAGGGTACCTCAGGATCAAGGAAATGTTTACATCTTCTTTATACACCCTTGGTGATCCAAGGATGTTGAAGATGATCATGATCTTCTACATGCAAGTCCACAAATTTAATGACAGTAAGGGAACACATATTCCAGCATTTACATGCCATGCTTCGTTAGCAAAAGTGGTTGAATGTCAAATGGAGATTGTCAATAATCATCATTCTATTGTCCAAGGTCTCCAATGAGTTGAGTCATGAATATTTTGTTATTTCAGTAATATTGAAAAAGTTAAGTCAGCACAATATGTAGGAAACTGAGTAAGTGATTTAGTGATACCTTACGTAGTAAGAAGGACTTGTTTTTTTGCAATCACAGGGTGGTAAGCATCAAGCTCGATAAAGTCATGGAAAAATTTGACAGTGAGGTGAGGATCTTGATAACCCTTTTTACTCTCATGAGTGACCAAGGCAGAATTTCTCCTCACTATATTGAGCAAGCAAGTGATGAGTATAAAGAAAAATATCAATTATAGGATTATTAGCTGATCCAATACTGAATTCTCCTAACTAAAATGGCGAGCAGTAAGGAGAAAAACTAATGAGATCGTGGGGCTGAAAGAGTTACTGACCTGAACAACCTTGAAGCCAACGATCTTATCAGTTTTTCTGATCAATCATGGCATATGTCCCGTATTTTGCATTATGGCCAGGACTGTCACAGTGCCCATCCCCTGAAAGCCACAAATCTCGCCCCGCTAGCTCAGAGAAAGTAGAATTTTGTTCTTTAAGCCAGAACTCATTGATTACGGGTTATAAGTACTTGTGTTGAACATTATAAAATGTTTTCTCACAGACAAATTTCAAATTAAGGTTATCTGCCAAAGATGCTACCTTTGTAAAGGTAGAGCCACTGACCAATATAGATGATGACAGCAATAAATTTCCAGCTGCCATCCCCTCAAGCATTAGCTGGCTTTGCCAGGAGTACGTATGATTATTCATGCATTCTAAGGTGACATATAGTTGGCTTCCTTGTGTGGATTGGTTCCTCTTAATCACAGCTGCACCACACTCAGGACAATACTTAAAGAATTTAAGTAGCTCTTGTTTAAATGTAATATACTTAGTATCATCCTGTGGCTTTTCGCCTTTTATTTCCACTTGGTGTTCGTTGTCTCATCCTGACGTTGTCTGATCCTGACATGTTCGAATCATCTGAATCTTCCTGTTTTGTGGGAAGGTAAATACCATCTTTTCTTGGAGAGACTTCTAGGGAGGCTACAGCTTCAGTTGCTTCTTCCTTGTTATCTACAATTTCACGAAGGAATACTTATTCAGTCTGAGTGCTGCTCTAAAACATCAACCTCGACTTAGGTATCAGTAGATTTCATCATCAAATAGAGACCACGAAGATTGACTTGGATTCCAAAATCCACACCCTTATTCGGCAAATTCACTTGCACTGCATGTGACTCAACCAACATACTGGTTGGCTCTAAATCATCTGGGGATGGATAGAATGTGCTGACTGAGTTTGATGTACTTACTCCTTAATTTACTACATCAAAAGAAAGAGACTATTCCAAAGCTGAAGCTGCATACTCTTCGATTCCACAACTAGGTTGTGCAGTTAGAGAGGCTATATACTATAACTGAAAAAATATTAACTCTGTTATGGTATGGGTTAGTGCTACTTTGAGAGAATGAAAAATGTAGGTGTGGGGATAAACTATGCTACCATATGGTTATGGCAATAATACAATGGGATTTTCTTGGAAAATGTAACACCTGACTCAGCCCTCCTTTTGTTGAAAGCCTGCAGTGGATTAATTCAAAAGGTTTTAACTTAGAATTTCCAGGTGTATTAAGTTTTATTCACACAGAAGTAAAGAAGGTTCAAAAAGTTCATAAGATGATATCCACAATTTATATTAAGTCTACTTGTCCTAATTTTGTTTACCTGTTGGGTAACAAGTGTAATATATTGCTAGTGATATAAACCCACGAGGTCAAACAACATGGCCGCTTCAACACAATTTTATTCCAGCAATGTATTCTGGGTACATACACAGTAACCCTAGAGGGTACTTAATATATTACACTGCTTTCCCCTTACAAATAAGATATCCTTACAAGTAACACAATAGTAGCTATAACATTCACTACAGGTTCAGTCGGTCAACAGGTTTCCTAATTCTCTCTGATCGCCTCAGAACAACCGGCGATGGTGTGTTTACATTCTCTTCACTAATACTAGAATTAGGCTCATTATCTTTATCTGAAAAATTGACTGGTGGCTGCGGCACCCCGGATGAAACTTGGCTATTATCTACACTTAGAGTAGGTTGCTCACACAGTTCTGGGACAGGTATGTCCAACTCTCTAGTTTCATGTGGCATCTGATCATGTGCTTTAATTAAATGATCAACATGAACATATCTGGTCTTATAGCCAGTCTTAACTAAATATGTTCTGGGTCCACAGACCTTAACTACCCTTCCCAGAATCCACCTCTCAGTATTGCTACGGGCTTGAGTATTTCTCACTCGAACTATGTCATTCTCTGCAAACAGCCTATCTTGATGACCCTTTAAATCCTTATATTCCTTCTGCTTATTTTGTTTACTCTCTACGGTTTTGGCTAGATCAGGTTTCACTAGAGTTAAACGAGTACGCAGTCTACGTCTCATCAACAGTTCTGCTGGCGTAGCACCTGTGGTGCTGTGTGGGGTGGTACGGTATCTCAAGAGGAAGTCTGCTAGTCTATGTTTGATAGACCTTCCCTTGTTTCCCTCTAGAACTTGTTTGACAAGCGCCTCCTTTACCACCCTGACTGATCTCTCAGCAGCACCATTTGATTGTGGGTGATAAGGAGGAGTTAGGGTATGTTTAATGCCATTTTTATACATAAACTCAGCAAACTCACTTGAAACAAATTGTGGCCCATTATCTGATACCAACTCCTCGGGCAAACCATGTTGGGCAAATATAAGACGCAACTCATTTATGGTTTTCTCTGTGGTGATTGAGGTCATGTGCTTAACCTCTATCCATTTTGAAAAACTATCAACCACCACAAAAAAAAATCACTCCCTTTCTGACAAAAATCAACATGAATACGCTGAAAGGGTCGCGTGGCCCATTTCCAGGGTATCAATGGGGCACAAGGTGGAGAGGTCCGCACATCCTGACACACTGAGCATAGTTTAATCTTTTGTTCAATTTCCTCATCCATCTTGGGCCACCAAACACAGGTGCGTGCTATTGCTTTCATTGCACAAATGCCTGGGTGCTCCCAATGCAACTCCTCCAACATCTTTTCCCTAAATACTGGGGGAATGATCACCCTGGAACCCCAGAGAATGCAATTTTGTTCGCAAGAAAGTTCATGTCGACGGGTGTAATAGGGTTTTAAATCTTCATCACAAACCTCTGGCCACCCCACCATGACCCAATCAAGTACCTTGCTTAACCCTGGATCCATCAATGTAGCTTTCCCAATCTCTTTTGCAGTTATGGGGAAATCTTTGTCAATGGCACTTACATTGTAAATCTCACTCTCACTGCCAATCTTAGACTCTTCATGGGGTAATCTAGAAAGGGCGTCACAGTTGCTGTGCTTCTCGGAGCTCCTGTACTCAATGTTATAGTCATATGCTGAAAGGACAAGTGCCCAGCGCTGCATACGGGCAGCTGCAAGTGTGGGTATAGCAGCTTTTGGGCCCAAAATAGCCAACAATGGCTGGTGGTCAGTTACTAAAGTGAACTTTCGTCCATATAGAAACTGATTAAATTTTTTTACCCCGAAAATAATAGACAAGGCCTCCCGTTCAATTTGAGCATAATTTTTCTCACTTGAGCTGAGGGTACGTGACGCATATGCTATTGGCCTTTCTTGACCATCCTCCATTACATGACTAAGCACTGCCCCCAAACCATAACTCGATGCGTCACAAGCTAACTTAAGTTCACGATTTAGATCATAGTGGACCAACAGCGACTCACTGGTGAGGCCCTCCTTGCATGCCTCGAAAGCTTTCTGGCAGTCATCTGTCCATTCCCATTGAATATTTTTCTGCAAAAGCCTATGCAGAGGTGCTAAGGTTGTAGCCAGCCCTGGCAAAAAGGAATGATAATACTGAACCATGCCCAGGAAGGACCTTAATTCACTCACATTCTTTGGGGCTGGGGCTCTTTTCACTGCACTGATCTTCTCCTCCACCGGTTGCAGGCCTTCGGCACTTATTCTCAGACCTAGATAAACCACTTCAGGTTTCAAAAACTCGCATTTTGCCAGTTTTAAATGCAAATTGTATTGGTGTAGCCTGTCCAACACATCAGCAAGTATCTTGAGATTCTCTTGCCAGTCATTGCCCCCTATCAAGATGTCATCTTGTTTACAAACACATTTTTCAATTCCCTGAAGAATTTGATCCATTTTTGCTTGAAAGATTTTTGGGGATGACTTGACCCCATAGGGCAATTTCTGGTAGGAATAAAGGCCTTTATGAGTGGTAATTGTCAAGTACTCTTGACTTTCTTTGTCAACATTCAGCTGGGCATAGGCATGTGATAGATCAAGCTTACTAAATACCTTAGAGCCAACCAGAGCAGCATACAAATCCTGAGTAGTAGGTAAAACATATTGCTCATCTTCAACTGACTGATTGATAGTGGATTTGTAGTCTCCACATATTCTGACAGTGTTATCAGCCTTTGGCACTACCACAATTGGGCTAGCCCAAAGTGACCTGTCAACTTTCTTAATAACACCATGCTTTTCTAGTTTGTCTAACTCTTTTTCGACTTGCTCTTTTAAAGCGTATGGAACCCTACGCGCTTTCACGAATACAGGTTTTGCATCGCCTCTCATAGTAATATGGGCCTCAAGGCCCGTCATACCTTTGTAACTCTCAGTAAACAATTCGCTATGTTTAGATAGCAACTCATTCAGTTGACTATCAGCACTCCTAGGGTCTCCCTTGGGAATACAAAATATCTCACCCCACTCAAACTTAATGTGCCGCAGCCAGTTTTTACCAAGTAAAGTAGGTTTTGCATCATAATTGGCTACAAGAATGGGTAGAGAGTATTGTTTACTCTTATACACTATGTCACACTGCATTTCCCCTGACACATCAAGTAATTCACCCGTGTATGTCTTAAGTGTTATTTTAGAAGGAGACAGAGGCTTGTCTGCAAACCTCTCTAGATATTCACTTCTACTCATTATTGAGAAATCTGCAGCTGTGTCTAACTCCATCATACACAGTTTACCATTGATTTCCATTTCTACAGTGTACCTATTGCAATTAGGCTTGTTTTGGTCAAGCGAATTCAGAGAATAAATTCCTAATTCCTCATCCTCACACTCATCATTGCCTGATTCTGAAGCCTGTACACTATGAATTTTACCCTTTTTCTTTTCATCCTTACTGCGACAAACAGAAGCTAAATGCCCAATCTTGGAGCACTTGTAGCATTTTGCTGACTTAAATTTACAAGACTGACCTGAATGATTACCCCCACACCTAGGACATGACAATTGTTCAGTGTTCTTCTTTTCAGTGTTTTTACTTCCTTGTTCTGTCAACCTGTTTACTTGAACAGTTTCACTGCGTGAAGGGTGAAATTCTTGGGTGTTCCTGTCTGCCATCTCCATGGTCTTGGCAATACTGCAAGCCTTTTCGAATGTGAGGTCATCAGTGTTCAGTAGTTTGTTTTGTATCTTCGGATTGTTCAGTCCGCATACGAATCGGTCACGTAACGCCCGATTGAGGAATTCACCATAATTACAGTGGACCGCCAATCTCTTCAAAGCCAGCACATAATCGCTAACTGATTCTTCGGATTTTTGATTTCGCGTGCCAAAGTGAAAACTTTGTGCGATTTCCAGGGGCTTCGGGTTGTAGTGTTTCTCCAAGACTTCCACAATGTTAGTGAATGACACGTCCTTCGGTTTAGTGGGCGCCAATAAGTTGCTGAGGGTTGTGTATACCTCCGGCCCCACTTCTGTCAGGAAAATGGCACGTTTCCTGTTCGCTACCACAAGGTTGGTGGCAGCGCTTCCCTCTCCTGTTGTCGTTACAATGTTGTTGGCTGTAAAGAACATTTCCATCCTCTCGACGTAGGCACTAAACGTTTCACGTGCGACGTTGAACTCGCCAACACGTCCAAATAATCCACTCGCACTAGTGCTGGCCATCTTCTATGCCACAACACACACAGCGTTGTCCAAAGACCTTGCACTTTTGAATGACGTGGAAAAACGACCGATCCTCGTCGCCAAAATGTAATATATTGCTATAGTGATATAAACCCACGAGGTCAAACAACATGGCCGCTTCAACACAATTTTATTCCAGCAATGTATTCTGGGTACATACACAGTAACCCTAGAGGGTACTTAATATATTACAACAAGGGACTGGTAAAACGTTTCAAGAATTAAGAATAATCATTTTTTATTCTGAAACAATTTTGTTTACTTACTGGTCAAAGACATGAAACTAAAAGGAATTTGTTTTGCTTAAAGAGAAGAAATACTTTTCTGTGAAAACCTTATGTTTCTCAATGGAATCTAATCGGGTGATACCCCTTTAAGATATAAATTGTTATTGCCCACAAACAGCATTCACCTTTCAATTTTTCTATCAATCATGCATCAATGATGAGCAGCCTTAGGAGTTTGCAACAACCCAAGCCAGCTGTAAGACAGTAATTCACGATTCAGTTTCCTCTTTTCTGGCTTTCTCTTCTGAACGTTTCCCTGATGATAGTCGAAGTCTTTTCGATGGTCTACGATGCCAAAAAATCGTGGATATTGCACCATATTTAAGCGTAGATCTGGGTTTCAAACCAAGAATTTCTGCTTTCAAGTCTCGTTCGAAGCAGTCAGTTGTGAAATGTGCTGAGCACAGCCTGGAGTTTTACGAAACGACGAGATACGCTCGTGAGATCTTTGCCAGCCACTTAGGTCGTAGAGCTTCATCCCTCGGAAAGCAGTGGTAGGATATACTAGTTGTATACCTTGAGTCACTGTTACAATCGAACGCCGCGCAATATATCATTTTTAGCTCGAAAGTAATCAAAATAAATGTAGCAGCGAGGGCTAGTCAATCGTCAAGAACAGATAGAAGAATAAACTCAAACAACTCAGGCTTCTGCATTGGTATATCCTTTCTTGCGTAAGCCAAGAATTTAACCCATTATAGAGAACTTATAAGCCAAAGTTCAACTCGAATTTCAAAATTTTATTTCCTTTTGGACTTCTTACGACATTATTAGCAGCGTGCGTCATAGTACATGTCATTGCAAATCCGGACTACAAACGCGTTGCAGACTAATGTGTAAAAAAGTAAATAACAAAACTTGGAAAGAGAATGAAAGATGAAATATCTTAAATTACCAGTCTGTTAGAAAAATTAATGTGGAGACCCTTCTTCGAAAACATCGAGGTCAGGCCAAGTATAAGAGATGCGTCGCAAATGATCTGGACATGTAACTACGTTTCAGCGACATCGTGTTACGAAAGCCTAAATATTTTTTTTTCTTATGCAATCCCTGGATAGAAGACCAATTTTCTAATAGGAGAGGCGCTTACATAATTTTTTGCTTCACCTCGCACAATCTTTGCCCCTGGAAAACCACCCATTCTTTCCCAAGAGCAAACCGCAGTCCTAAATTCAACTCTCCCCTTTTTTTTGCCGCGTTTACCTTCATCGCCATAACCTACGTCACACGCTATAAAAAGAACCGCTGACATTCGTGTTCTGAGCCGACGTACCACGGTCAAATATCGAGCCAATTATCACCAAAAACCCTTCGTTTTCTGGATGAAAACTATCGTTCGAGGAAAAAAAATGAAGGAAATTTGTTCAATCATACATAAATGCACGATACACAGTAAAAAAAATCACATGAATTTGGACTTCAGTTCTCCTTAATGCACCCATCGAGTACCAGCATTTTAAAATGGAGAGCTTAGCATGTGCTATACAGTTAATGAAGAAAAACTGTTTTATGGCTTCCATAGACCTAACAGATACCTACTACACTGTTCCTGTGGCTGTTGAGCCAGAAAATATGTACAATTTCTCTGGAGAAGTTGGTTGTTTCAATACACATGTCCACCTAATGGTCTAGCTTCGGCGCCAAGATATTTAACCAAACTAGACCCTGTGAGCAGGGTAACTGGGATACCTGGATGGTACTGGATCCGTGGAATCAAATGTAGTGATACTACGCGTGTCGGACTAGTATACTGAAATAGTGAGCTCAAGTCTGGCCAAGGGCATACACCTGTCTCAAAACATAGGCATGCTATGCATGCAAGAGTTATTTTTTGTATGGTGGGTGGATTACTTGAAACATTGTAAGTGGTCTACATTCTTACAAAAGGAAAGAAGATTATTAAGGCAGGAAAGAATGAAAATGTCGAATTACCTCACACACAGGTATTTTGCGGTAGATTATGTGTGTTGTGCGAATAAATGTAACCAAAAATAAACTGTATTGGTGCCACGGATACCTGTTAGTACAAAATGTAGACAGCAGACTGCAGACCGGATACAAAATATAGACTGCAAAGTGGGTACAAAATGCAGACTGAGAATCTGAAGAGTTTCTACGTCTGGTATATAATAACATGTCATCTTACAGCTTACCGAGCGTCACGCAATCGCTTTTCCGCGATCAGCCTTCACGATTATTTGCACTATTGTGGAAAATTCCTGGCCCATTTCTTGATGAAAATCGATCGTAATATAACTTCAAGCCTTCAACATAGTTGGTTGGTGTGATGTCTGTGCAGATTTTACCAATGTAATAAAAGTAGATGACGTGAATAATAGTGATGGTAAAGCAAGCTTAAAACGGCAACAATCGCCAGAAACTACAACGGATACTCAGGGTATGAGTAAGTTTTATTGATTTTACGAGAAAAATCTTCATATTTCGAAATATTTATCGTTGTAAATCGACCATATTTCGTTCCCTATACTACTCCTAATAACGTGTTCAAATTTTTCAACGGTTCCTAGCATAACTTACTCTGAGTCATACAACGCGTAACGCGTTCGTGAATTAATCGTTGGCTCTTTCTCGAGACGTGACCTTGGGTTGCCTGTGACAAGACAATTGCGTAAACAATACTTAACACAATAACATTATATACAAAAAACACGGGATTTTGGATCATGTATTTATTAAAAAAGAATATCCATACAACTACAATGGAAAAAAAACATAAGATTCATCTTTCTGATCGTGAAATTAATACCATTCGCACTGTTATCGTAGCTACGTTCCCTGGCATCAAGTGAATCCAACATGGCGTCTTTCTTCACAAGCAGTTTGCATCCATTTGAATTTTGTTCTTCAGTCTCACGGTAGTAGTGTTGTTCAATAGATTGCATAGAGTATATGCAGTTTGGTTTCAGATTTCAGATTTTGCTTTTTACAACGAGTTAACGTTTTCAACTAAGACATTGGCATACTTAGCATACAAGACATACAAGGCATTCAATGCTTTCATGGCTTTCAAGCGTTCACGATTCAGTCCGTTCCAAAATTACCGCTCAATAACATCTTTTTGTGTGGATTGGCCGCGATCAATACGACTTGTGTATGCGTCTATAAGTATTTTGAGCGTTTGCGCCATAATGCTCCAGATCATCGTTATCCAAACACATTGAAATACAAAACGACTGACAAAAGAGTTTTATGGGCAAAAATCTCGTGTTCGTCATGTGACCCGGCCATGTCCGTGCATGACAACGTAAATCTTCATCAAGATAGCACGCGTGATCAGCATGTGAATATCTCATTGGATCACAGTTAGTTGTCATGGAGTTGAGGGCCCAATGACCTCTGGGTACTATTGCGCAATTTTCCCATTTTGTGGCGGAGGAAAAAAAAAAAAAAGACTACAAAAAAACAAAGGCATTTTATGACTGGGCTACCACAGGTATCCCAGTAATTATTGAAACCAGTGTATTGCACTTTGCGTAGCTATGTCTCTTTGAATGTTGGATATATTGACGATTCATTAACAGGGAGACTCAGAGATAGAATGCAAAAATAACATTCCTACTGCTCTAAAACTATTTGAGTCTCTAGGATTCCTTATTAATCGTGGAAAGTCAGTGGTGCTACCATGTCATGAAACTGTCATTTCTTGGCTTCATCTTAGACTCCGTCAACATGAAAATATTTCTTAGAACAGAAAGAATAATTTTGGCCTGCTAGCAACTATTGAAGGAAAGTTTAATTTCCATTAGAGAAGTTGCACGAGTCATCGGGCTTTTGGTATCCAGTCTGCCTGCTGTCCAGCATGGACCCCTTTTTGAGGTTTTTTTTTATAAAAATAAATAACTCTATGTTAGTGTAGAGAGTGGTATGTTGCTCGCACCAATTAGATCGCCGCTTTAGGGTATGTATCTCGCACCAATCAGATTGCCACATTAGGGTATGTATCTCGCACCAGTCATAAAACAGCATTTGAATATCTTGCACCAATCTTAACGTTTGGGTATTTTTTTCTTGCAAATGATGTCATGGATCAGGGGGCTGTGCACAAAGAATGACATGAACCAGAAATTTTGGGCTCATTTGTTAAGTGTAATGGTTTGTGGCCTTCGCGAGAGCCTCGTCGGTTAAGGTCGAAATTTATCGGGATATGAAAGTCTGCATTTAATTTTGTTGTATAATTTTTACGTTGAAACGTGTTTTTCCGCTCCTTTACTCGCAACGCACACGCCAAACAACTTACATTTTACCACGTACCATGAAAATAACGTCCAAAGCCCAATCAGAACATGCACAATCATTGCACTACACGAACAGTTAGCAATTTTTGCTACATAAGACGTCGTTCTATCATGTGTCATTTCCTTGAAAGCAACTAACGGCTGTTTATCACATATTCTAACCGCATTGTCCAACCCCACTGAAAAATTTCCACATGGAACCAAATGCTACTGACATTAAATTTTACACAATTCTTCCAAGTTCAACTTTGTTTATGAGTTAAAGTCGCTTTAAGTTACCTTGGACTTAACCCAATTGCGTGTTCATTCCTTGTAAAACAACCTGCATTTTATCACGTATTTCACACACAGAGGGCAAAGTCCAGATAGGCAACAACCAATCAAGGAGCCCTCTTTGAAATATTATCCTTTTCTCTTGTTCAATGTATCTTCACTTATTCGAGATCGCAATATATCTTTGGTTAGGGTCTATGAGAGGTACAACAGAGTTTCAGCTTTCTTTTCGTGCAAAATTTGAGATAACTAAATGTAGACGAATAAATTTGATTTTATCTGTGTTGGAGGAACGGCAGTGAGCGTAGTCTTATTCGCAATCGTCATTTGGTCTCGTCACGCAATGTGTTCTCTCTCAAACGGGAAATAGAAGGCGTTGTATGACGAGAGCAAACAACGGCTGCGTTGCATCCTCTATAGTAACTCTCTATGTAACCAAATGAGACTGATGGCATGTCTGTTGTCAGGAAATACTATGAGGAGTATCGAAGTCAGCTGTTGGATTGCTTATGGCATATCGGCGAGGTGGTACCACAAAACATGACTCGGTGTACACAAAAAACTGGACAGCATTTTGTCTCCAAAAGAAAGTCGATAATCTTCAACCACCTATAAGAGAAGTTTTAGATTTTCTTTCAGAACTTTTTAACCAAGGACTCAGCTACAGTGCTATTAACTCTGCTAGAGGGGCACTTTCTTCTTATGTCTCTCTGGATGATGGCTATATGGTTGAACATGACCCGCTGGTTTGTCGTCTGGTAAAAGGTGTTTTTCAGTTAAGGCCCCCCAGCCCAAGTACACAGAGGTTGGGGATGTCCAAGTGGTGTGAACTTACCTGACTGACTATTCTTCATCCTGTTGAATCATTAACACTTAAACAACTCACATTAAAACTTGTTATGCTGTTGTTATTAGTATCCAGCCAGCGAGGCTAGACTATTTATTTATTAGACATAAATCACATGTTTGTGAGTGGTGAAAAACACTCATTTGTCATTCCAAAGTATCTCAAACAAATTAAGCCAAGGATACCTAACCCTCAGGTTGTCCTTGAACCGTACAAACAATCCTTTGTATGTCTTGTCACTACTCTTAAGGAATATCTCGTCCGAACCAATGCAATTGGTTAAATGCAATCAACCAATCGCAGTTGTTAATAAGTTATGTTCAACCTCATTAGCCAGTAAGTAGGGACACTGTGACAAGGTGGGTACGATCCACTATGACTTTAGCTGGTATTGATGTAACCAAATACTCTGTACGCAGCACAAGGGCTGCATCTGTATCAGCAGCAAGCAGGGCTTCAGTGAACCTAGATGATATCTTCTAAACCGCAGGCTGGTCATCTGAATGCTGTATTGCCCGCTTTTATAACAAACCTATTGCCCGAAATTCAAGTTATGCAAGCTCGCCACTTTCATCTCTGTAAAGTGTAATTTCCTTACATGTACACTAGACCATTTAAGTGGCACGTTGTTGTTTCTTCATTTCCGATTTGCTTTGAAATCTCATGGAATCTCTCACCATGGAACTTAGAAGAATTTCATATATTTGATTCAATTATTCAGTACTATGATTTGATATACTTTACCGTTTGTTCCTTTTTATAGGTTAAAGAAAAAGAACGAGCAATAGTTGCCGGGCGAGAACTTGAAGCTACACGGAAAGAACTGGAACACGCCAAGCAGTGGAAAGGACAGTTTGAATCGACACAATCCAAAATGCTAGAGTTGGAACTTGTCATCCAGGAACTGCGAGAGGAACTCAGTGAACATGACCCTTGTGGAGAAAGATGGCACCGAGGAACGCGCCAAAACAGAAAAGGAGGAGCTAGAAGAGGTTTGAATTTGGATAATAATTTAACTTAACTTTGAAATATTCAGCGTATATTGTAAGGAAATCTGTCTCCTCGCAACAAATTAGAGAGTTTTAGATCCATGTTTGTTTGTGAATGTGTGTGACCGCAAACCGCCAGGAGTCACGTGACCAGACTCTAGCGGTCACGTTTGCCGTTTGTGGTCCACGTTTGAGCTTTGGACAAGGTACTTTCAGGTAGGTGAACTTGCTCGGCGCTTTTCTTCTGCGTGTTCGAAAGTTCTTACATATGTCATGTAAATACATGTGAGATGGTGCGTTTTTTCTTTTCCTGAAAACCAAACTTTTAGCCACATTTTGTGTTTGAGATGAAGGAACTTCATCCAGTCTGTAGGTCAAGATGGCGGCGTAGATGTTGATTTCCATGGCTTTTTGTCACTTTCAATGTTTTTAGCCTGTACGCCGCTCATTAATCGACAGGTGAATTTTTCACTAAGCAAATTGTGTTAAGTGTTACATTGAAGATGATTCCAACCTTTGCGCTGGGCATAATTCTGATTTATTTCAATAACAGAAAATTCTCCAGAGGATGCCGATGAGAGGGAACAGCAACAAGATGAAAACGTGGAAGTTGGAATTAAAAAGAACAAGCTCGTTCAAGGACTTGAAAAAAGTATATGCGAACTAGAGGACAAATTAATGGAATCTGAACAGATTCAAGCGAATGGAGATATACCCCGTATTGCGGTAGAAACTACATCGGAACAGAAACCGCCAAGTGAAAATCAGGTTATCGAATCTGAAAAGTTTCAGCAAGTACTACATGAGAGAGAACAATTGGAACAAGAGAAAAGTAGCCTCAAGCAACAAAACAAAATGATAAATTCTGAACTTGAACTTCTTAGAAAACTCTTAAGTCAAAGAAATATTGATAAAAAGGCAGAATGGGACATGATAAACGAGAGAATGGATGAGATATCAGCCGAACGCGACCAGATAAGGAATGAGAAGAACCGACTGAGAGAAGAACTTGTAAGAATGGCTTCTGTTGCTAAGGACATGCATAATATAGAGGAACTGTTACGAACTAATCCTGATGAAAGCGCTTACATACATCAGGCGGGGGCTTTGAAGATAGCAAACAACGTTCTGCAGAGTGAACTTCAAGACTTGATTCAGAAGGAAAGGGAATTGAGGGCAGCTAATGACAAGCTTTGGAAGGAAAAGGCGTGGTTACAAACGGTATGTTCTAACTCTCTCAAAAGAACGTTTAAACTCTTTGAAATGAGCTGCAGGAGTTTTGCTCTCGAATGTTTACTTAGTAAATGTGGTCAATTTTAGTTGCACTGCCCAGCCAGAGATTGTCATGTGAAAACTTCGGCCAGCAGAGGAACTAAAGGTTTAAAGTTTTGGGAATCAGCACCCCAAAGGTCATGAAGTCAACTCTTGAACGACACTTTTGTAGCACTGTCGCCGATCTCCTTTTCTTTGCTTTGTCTCACGCCCGTGAGAAAATGATTCTACCATCTTTTGACAGTTCCGATTTTATGTGTAGATAATACTCCTACTTTATTTTTGATTTGAGTATGATTTAGGCTGGCCAAAATGTTTATATCCTTTTTTAATGTTTATATCCTGTTTTAGGGGCGTGGTTCGTCCTTGTCATCTATGGATGGGAATTTCAATCAAGAAGTTGGTCGTCTGGTAACAGAGAACGTGGTAAGTAGGGAAAAAAAACGATTTTTTTTTTTAGCCTGTTGCTCTAACTGGAATATTTGGTTGGTTTTGTCGTAGTTTTACCAAAAATAGCGCAGAGCTCTTATAAAAGCCCTTTTTACTATTCAGGAACTCCGTGAACAAGTTGAAAAACTGGAGGCAGAGCTGGAAGAGTACAAGAAAGGTGGAACAACAGCACTGACTCCATTCCGAGGAAGAGCACAGTCGTGGAGAGGTCAGATTAACACCAGTTTTAATGCAAAGATGTCTCTGCAAGTTCTGCTGAATTGGTTGGTAACTGTTTATTTTGTAGGTGAAGAGGAGCAGAAACGGAGAGCTCAAAGTTTCTTATCTGGTCAAGAACCAAAAGCTGGAAAGTTGGTAAGATCAGGAAAACCTCCTGAATGAATTAATGAATTTTTTTTTATTTATTTTTTTTGCGGTCTGGGGAAATATCATTAGTAGCGTATTGGAAAGAGCCAAATAATTGCCCTTGCAGCTGGGCTTGCAAATATGTTGCCCAAGGTTTCTTTGGACCAGTCATTAAAAGATAAAACAAAAATTTTAAAAAAAAAACAGTTATTTTCAGGAAAACTTGTTCGAGAATGATGTTTAACCGTCACTAATGTTACACTGTAAGGCTATTGAAGAATAAAGGGGGTAAGTTTCTAAAGAAACTGTGGTGCTGCGTCGGTAGGAGAGTATAGCAGGTAATTTAGTGTTAAAAACTGAGTTGAAAACGTAAATTGGCCTCCGTAAAGGGTAAAAAAGCTAAACCTCTACGGTGGTCAAGTTATGTTTTCAACTCGGTTGTTAACACTAAATTACCTGCTATTGAAGAATACATTGTGCATAATACTTGTGACTCTTTTGGTTTACCGGTTTCTAGTCCTAAACTTTCACTTAGCATTCAATCAATTGTTTCCTCCAGGTTATGAGGCATGCCGGACTGCTTAGGAAATCCTCGCATGCACACATGGAAGGGGTAGTTATTCTGTTTACTGTTTGCTTTGCTGGTTTGTTGTTGATACATCGCAACTGAAGTTAGTAAACAACATGGCGTAGTATTTGCTACCGACAGTTGGCGGTTTTAGTGAAAAATCATATCTTCTCATGTCTCCGGCCGACCCAAAGATCTTAACGTGCGCGAGAGAACTGCTCTAGACCGACGTTTGATTCAAAGTTTTCCAAAGAATAAGCAGCATGATAACCAAGTATAAGGCTCATCTGACTGCCAGCAATCGCATAAAAGAATGCTATGGTTAGTAACGATATTGTTGGCCATCACTTAAATAATGTTGAACTGCGGCTGAATTGTTAGTCAAAATTACAGTCACATCTGTAGGCAGATAATAATGCTTCTATTTTTATGTTCACTTTGGTAGGATTCTCTTCCCCCTCTGCCGCAATTGAGACAACACAAAATCCGTGGAATGATTGAGTTTTCAGGCGAGGATGAAGAAAAAGTTATCAAATTCCTAATTACTGATATGAACCCCAGATCCATGGCAGAGGCTATCCCAGGACACCTCGGGCACATCCTGTTCATGTGCATCCGGCATTGTGATCACGTGAATGATGACCGGCGTATGCAGAGTCTGCTGACTAACAGTATAAACAGCATTCGAAAAGTAGTCCAGGTAAACAGTGTATCAGATAACTTATTTAACGGACTATCGAGAAAAATCCCGTGTTGCTTATTAAGCATTGTTTTTTGATATTGAAACTTGCGCAACAATTTACATACTTAACCGATCAGAAGCAAAACTGAAACAAATTACGTCTTGCGTCATTTGCATTTCCCTGCAATGCTTTTGCCTAGAGTTGTTTTGGATTCTGAGGTATTTCATTATTGGGAAAGTTCTTTCAATGACCACAAGATCGTCGCATTCAGTTGTTGTAACCTTATTTGTTATAATTTAGTTTACAACTCATTCCTTTGAAGAAATATGTTCCAAGAAGAGCTGGTTTTTTTTTTATCTTCCCAGTAGTTTTTCTATTCCTTTTTCAAAGATTCGCCAGAAACTACTTTACACGTGCACCGCCCATCAATAGAAGAACAGTGAGTTTAGTTCAGCTACTCTTCTATGAAAGCGAGACATTCTTTGACAAATAACACGAGAGAGGAAAGAAAGTTATGTATCTACTTTACTCGGGGTTAGCTCGGTATAGATCCATGATCCTTTACATTAAAAAAATAGCGTTCTTTTGGTTAACAGAAAAACCCTAATGATCTTGATATCTTGGCATTTTGGCTGGCAAATACGTCGCGCCTTCTTCATGACATGAAGCAGTACAGTGGCGATAAAGTAAGTTTATTCATAGTGTCAATAGGCTCAACCACGGGGCCCACACCCCTCGCCGACCGGACACGAGAGAAAGGCCTAAAACCGTGCCCAAAGCACTGAAGTTCACTTTTAACATGATAATCAAAGGCCTAACAACTCACACTTCTTGTATCTCTGATTTTTTTTATGTTTGATTTTTTTCCCATACATTTTTGGTAAAGGTTACCTTTTTTTTTTTTAATACGTTTAATCTCCATCATTCGGAAGTTTTGTTTCTTTTGTTGCCACAGTTGTTGTTGGTGATGTTTTATGATAAATTAGCTGTAACTGCCAAAACTAACACCGTTACATTTTTGCATCTAATGCCATCAAATGATAAAAAATCCTATTTCCATCTGTTATTAATGATTTTAACACCTCCTCCAAAACATGTTTCTTATTAGAGTAATGTCGTCTTGAATTAAAAGGAAAATGTTGTAAATTATTGTGCAATTAAAGTTTGTGCGAGACCTCGTTGTGAAACTGAGGCGGAAATAAAGTTTGAGAAAGCGACAGCCTTTGATTTACAAGAATACGAGCCGTAATTGATATGCATGAAAAAAGGCGGAAATTTTCGTCGCATTTTACAGATAATTTGCCACAACTTTGCCCTTTTCTTCTCGAAGTATTGATTAATGATTGACATTCCTTTTACCGATCTTCCTTGCGTTCTTCATCAGCATTTTCTTTTGAGGTCACAGTGGTGTAGCTTTGTGATGTGACTTTCAGTGTCTTTCCTCTGACCATTCTCATTCATTCTCGCTTTGCTCACTGAAAATTCTTCAGTGGTTTGTAAGACGACCCGATGAAGACGGACTGTCCGCATCTCTGTTAAAACAGTGGAGTTATATGAAGGATTACATCAAAGATGTTAGTTTGCCACCAACCTTTCTTATTGTGCACTTCGTGGTTTGTTTTTCTCGCTGAATGCACGCTTGTATCTGCACCATCTGGTTTCTTTTTCCTTCTTTATACTCAAGGCGAATTTGGTTGTCACATTTTGTGAGACAATTTTCTCTGAATGTCTTTTGGTCATCTTTCTTCTCTGCTAACTTGATTCATCTTTTATGTTCTTTAATTACTTGTTCATGTAACACTTATGACCACAAATGTTTATTTTTTTCTGTTATTTAATCATTTTTACTTCTCTATTTATCCGTTTATGAATTCTGGTTAATGTTTATTTTGCATTATAGTTTCGTCACCTTTTGTTTACGTTTGTTTAATGCTGTGGCTGCAACGTACAAAACCATTATAGCGTTCGTCAACGTTCCTTACTTCTCTGTGACTTATAATTGTCATTTTTGTCTTGTCACCATGATCAGAAAACTCTTTTTTTTCCATTACGGAACATAAATGGAAAAATCTTAGCTCATACATTAGAAATGAAGAAACACCCTAAACGGTTAAATCTCCAGAGAGCCCTTAGATTCTGACTTTCAAGTTGTTTTGAGTTCGATTATGGTGTGTTGCAAGTGTTAAGAAGGCTTTTTCAATTGATGATCCGCGTTAAAAGTAGGCACTTCTGTTCCAAAATAGTCATCAGCTAATTAACTAATTGAATTAAAATCCTTAAAATGTACACGCTTGTCTGTTTTTTTTCAGGCGTTTCAAGTGCAAAACACTCCAGAACAAAACGAACACTGTCTGAAAAACTTTGACCTGACAGAGTACCGGCAGGTGCTGAGCGACCTGGCCATACATGTCTATCAAGATTTAGTCAAGTGTATATGGGAAGCTATACAACATATGATAGGTAAAATGACTTGTCACAATGATCCTATGGGAGTGATAAACAAATAGTGACTCAGTAAGCTAATTGGTGGTGCCATGGTTCAAGACACAGGTGGGGTACTGTCTTTAGTTCAAGAAGAGAACACTTCCCTCTCTAAGCTCTCATCCTCCCCGGTTCCCCCTCCCCATCCCCCATCCCTCAGAAGTCGAAATGAGTACCAGCGAGCTGTCAGGGAAACCTGATAAGTTGTTTGTGGGGAGGGGGTGGGGAACCTACGAACCTGTGATTGACTTGCAATCCAGGATAGGTTACAGCAGCCTAATTTCTTGAGAATCGGTCAGTATTTGACAACGAAGTATGTCAGTAAAATGGTTTACGACCGACTGCCGTCCAATTCGTTCGTGGATAATCCGATTACCAACTGATCCTGGGCTTTTTGACCTGATCTTCTTGTTACTCTATTCAGATTGATTTCGTTTGGTTTAGAGAAAAGTAAGAAGGTTTTGTAGCTTTTTTTGATTAAATGAAGTAGCAAAACGATCAGAGATTGATTTGAACGACACAGAATCCTTTTGCCAATTATATCTAGTTATGACTAGTTAAGCTTGCTTCACACTTGCGACACAAGAACATAACAAGAAAACGAAAAAACGAACAGATGACTTGTTTTCTTTATATCACTGTCTGTTTAGTTTCGCTTCTAATACCTGACGTAGTCGACCTGTTCACGCCTCTGTACTATGAAATAATTACGTTCTTATGTATTTTTCCCTTGTATAGCTAGTGTGAACGGTTCATACCGATGTTGCTATTTTCTTTTTATGTCTGCGTGTTCACATTACTAACTTGATAACATAATAACCTTCTCGCGTTGTCTTCTCATGCTATTATGTCGTTGTTTGTTATTTGCAGTGCCTGGAATGCTTGAGTACGACTCAATTCCAGGCGTGTCCAGTTCCAAACTATTCGGTGGGCGATCCAAAGCTCATGCTGACATCACAGTGAAGTCTGTCACAAAGATGGTGGGTGAATTCCTCAGGAAATGTCACAAAAATACTTCCTACATCAGTCTTAAGTTTTCTACACGGCCATTTGCGAAAGTTTTGCATCGCTTGATATCATCTTGTGATTAATGAGTATTGTTAAAATTGCTCCTCACCTTTTTCGACCTTTTACTACTCTGCATTGTAACGTAAGTTTTTGTAAATTTATCTAAAATTCCGACAAGAACAAAGAACTTTGATTTTACAGTTTTTCTTTCGTCAAGCTCCCATTTGATCGCGCCAATCAGATTTAAAGATTGCAAGTATATTTTGATTTCAGCTGTCAAACTCCCTTGCCATACTTAATGCCCAGTGCGTGGATCCGGAAATCATCATACAGGTTTTTAGACAGGTAAGTCAGGTAGACTAAGTAGTATCATTTGTTTCTTGCATTCTGGATTTTGTTGATGTTGCTTTTGCCGATTTCTTTTCAACAATACTTTGTTGATACTGTGGTTGTTGTTTTGTTTTACATAATAATTTAGCTCTTTTATTGCATTGGTGCCAACATGATGAACAACCTTCTGTTAAGGAACGACTTGTGTCATTGGTTAAGGGGAATGCACATCAGGTCCGTGATCATATAAAACTTTACTTTTTCGCTGAAATACCAAACCTAATTGTAATGTAAAAAGCTCATCACCAAAATCCAAATTTCTCCAAAGAAAATGACTAAACAAGAATGAACGAATCCATGGATAGTAACAGATTGCTTGGTAATCTTTTACCTGGTAAGTGAAGTATACTCAGAGAGGGAAATAAAGAAAACCTAAAAGTTAATTAATTTTTTTGTTCCTTAGATTTAACCTCAGTCGGTTGGAGGACTGGGTCCGGCTGAACCAACTGGAGGGTGGCGGTATTGAGGAGGCTTTGGAGAATGTCACACAAGCGACACAATTACTTCAGGCCAACAAAAAAACGTTGGAAGACGTGGACGCGATTTGTGAAGTCTGTAGTTCTCTTAATACCTTACAGGTAAGATAACCGCTTTACTTACCTGCTGACATGTAAGATAACCGCTTTACTTACCTGCTGATAGGTAAGATAACCGCTTTACTTACCTGCAGACCGGTAAGATAATCGCTGCTGGCGGATTTGTAGTCATCATCAGAAAATTAAGATGTCAAATACGGTGGTAACTCGGAAAACAAACTGGTTACAACACCAACACGACAGGGGAAAAAGGCCCACAGATAGAGAGGACGACATTTGTTTGTTTGATGTCTTTTCTTTTAAGTAAACGGCGCAAATTCAAACTATTGTAAATTTGTGTATTTGAATTAAGCGGTGAAATGAATCGCGGACTTGTTTTGGAAAACGTATCATGGTTACCTCAGTTCAGGGAAAAGTTCGAGAACTTCAAGTTCAAGAACTCAAGCTGGAGACCTATTGCAGGTGTCACTTATGGTTTAATGGTCTTGAGGGCCAGAACAAGTATAGAGAACACTTCAATTTACTGATGAATATCCCCAGAAGACCATCTAGAGGTCATTTTAGAGTCACGTTTTGTCTTTTAAGCGATCTTGGAAAAACAAGAATCTAAAGAGTTAAATCAAAAGCTAGAAAGCTCAGTCAAACCAATATCTATTAGGTAGCTAGTTAGTCCTCTTCGTGCGTCTTTGCACATGAGGCATCGTCTGGAGAATGCCATTGATTTCTTTCCGTTGCCAGTCGCTCAGGCTGATTTATGCCCACCCTCTGTCTCTCATTTCCCTTTTTACGGTTCTCCTCCAAGTTTCCTTGTAGAAGCCTCTTTTGTCTGCCGTCGGGAGTCCATGGAGGAGGACTGCGGGCAGGCAATGCTGGTATGGCATTCGAAGTACATGGCTGATCCAACTCCCATCTTCTTCTCTGATGGGTGCTGCACTCGTTCAACGGAGCAGTTCATCCTTGGAGATGATGTTAGGCCAAAAGAAGTGGAAAATCCTCTGCAGTGTTCATTGATTACTACTAATTATGATAATTGCTTCAATTTTCTTAGGTTCAGAAGATTTTGTCCATGTACACACCAGCGAACGAGTACGAGACCCGAGTACCTTCGTCTGTGATTCGTGCAGTAGTGGAGTGCAGGCATAATAATACAGATCCAATGTACCTGATGACTGATACAGCGTACATTTATCCCTTTACATTGCCTTTCACTCCTTCAGCTGTGTCGTTAGAGGCTCTGACCATCCCTGATCATTTGAACCTTGATTTTCTTAAGGTGGTGTGAAGTTTGTGTTAGTACTAAATATCAAAATTGGGGTTTTGGATTGGGGCTGGAATTTCCCTTTTAAATTTCGAATTTTTTTCGCATGAAGAATACTCCTGTCTAAGTTCTGTCTTTATTGGGTGCATGTTGGTACCTCAAATCAATGAGACTGCTTCGTGTTATTTCGATGGACCCATATCCAAAAGGTATTATACACTAATATCTAATTTAGAGAAAGCCGTCATTGGCTTTGAAGTTAAGGAACAAGTTATGAATGGATATAGTGTATCTAAGTGATCAACTAGAATGTTGATGAGGTATAGAAATAAGACCTGTGTGTAACAGTTAAGAATGACTTCTGAACCAAATTTAAATGAAGAATGCTACTTTGATAGACACAAGTTGAGCATGTGGATAGCACAGCCTAATCATTGTGCCCTATCACAAATAGCCTCTTTGCCACGCAAATAATAGCTCTTTGCCTCGCACTTAGCGCTTCTTTGGAGGGGACCGTAGCAGATCTGCAAGTAGAGAGGTAATGGACCCATGTTTACGTTCAACTGTTAGAATTTAGTTGGGGGGAGGGGGGGGGGGTGCGAGAAGTGAATCTCAAGTGTTGAAACGATTTTGATTTTGCTTTCAATTTGTTAGAAAGGTTAGATTTCGGAACACCATACAAACCGCCCGTGAGAGGTAAAAGAAGAAATTAGAGTTTTTTATCATCATCTTCGTATTTTGTTAATTTTTTGTTTTGGTGATTATTTTATAATTAGTCGATCAACAAAGCTTGTTTTTTACTTAGATATTTTTGGCCTTTTCTTATTTGTGCCTTATGTGTGGGTTCACCGAACAAAGCTATTTCAAAGAAATTGTTTCTAGAAAAATTTGATGAAGCATTACTTTAGTGATTACGAACAGCCTCTCATCACCTGAAAAAAAGATGATACCTTCTGTAAATCCACTTTGCAGAAACAAAATTGATCTTTCGTGACCAATCTTTGGCATCCGTGACAGGCCTAATGTTGTCACGCGGTACTCTTCAGAAGGAAACGAGTGACGCGAGTTTTAAAAGGTCAAGGAGGATATTTTGATGTAGTTGGGTGAATGACCAATTTATTAGATGAAAATTGAAATTGTTGTGATTATAACCTCAATGTTACTTGTTTTGACAGTTCTTGATTTTCCTGATTTGAGCAATTTCTAGAAAACTCTTTAAACTGCCATAGAAATTGCAATGCGGAATTTTTTAGCACTTTTCCTTGTTGCAAAGAGGAATTTGTAACCCTTATCTTAGCATGCACTATATTACGCAAAAATAGGCCGTTGGCATGGTTGATGACGTACCATCTAAACAGCATTCCCGCGAAAAAAAAGGTAAATTGAAGGTTTTACAATCGATGCAGTGTCAATACGCATTCACAAGTACAGGTTACGTGAATTAAAAGCTGATTACTGAAAATATCGAAATATTTTTGGGAGACAGGCCAGAGGAATATTTGTATGATGACGCGGAACATGTGAAGTTGATATGGTAGCAGTGCATATGAAGCTAAATTATTGAATGATCAGTAACCAGGACTGAAAATAAATGTATTTTTTTGTAGAACTGGACGGTATTTTGTTTTCACTTTGAAGAGCCCATGATGTAAAATATCCGATAAAGCATTTTTTTTCTTTTGCATAAAAAAAAAAAGATCGTTGCATCGAAAGTACTAGCCGGTCCGTTCTAGCTTTTGTGATCTTCTCAAGGGTCCCAGTCTTTACAAAAAGCTGGAGGTTACAATGAGAATCAGCCTTGCCGAACAGTGATGTAACAAAATGGTCGCAACAAATTTCAGCTAACACCTACGCAAACAATTTGTGAAGGATTATACATTACAGTGGAAAATTTTGAAAAAATCAAATCCTCTCACATGCTCGTATTATGTGCCTGCACGTTTGACAAGTCGCGAGTTGATTTTGTGAGGACAAACCCTGATCTCGGGGAAAACCGCCACAGAAATGGATTTTTCAGAATGGTCATGAAGTCTTCCAAATGTGAGGTACTTAAATCAACATAACGCTTAGAGGAATTTTTTTCCCTCTCACAGATAACTGTGTTATTGAGGCAGAAAGCACGGCAGATTAAAAGAACAGCCACAATAATAACAACTAATTGAAAATTAGCTTGGGTTTTCAGACTCTCGAAAGCTCCTCTTAATAATACAATAAAGACAAATATATTTTTCTTGTATCGTTGTACACAAAAGAATACAAAAGTCCTATGTCATTAGTCAGGGAAGTTCCGTAATCTGTTTCAAGTTAAAGTTGAATACCAACATTCGACAAGTGGGAACAGCATAACAAATTTGCGATAACCAATGACAGCCGGCATTAACTCACAGAATGCCAGTATTACAATTGTCATAGCAGCAGCAATGGAATACACACGTGTGGGTTACATCTCCCTCCTGAAAGTTGCATTCTGACCCATCACAGTGGCTCTGCAGTCCACACGTTTTGAAGTAGTGAGTTTTAGGTACTCCTTTAGGATTTGTCGCGGTATATTCTTCTATCTGGCAGACAGAGCCAACTGGGCATAGTTGCGACTTTAGCTGACTTTCGCAATCAGCCCATGAATTATTTGAGTAACAGCCCCAACAATAAAGACAGAGTGCTGTACAAAAGTAAACAAAAAAATTACCATTATTACTCTTCGCTCCAGGAAAGACTGTCTTGCGTAAGTTGGCGTCAAAAGCGACTATGGGGAACTCTCTCTCACAAAAGAAACTACTCATTGTTTCTGGCCTGGGGAGGGGGGGGGGGTTCGAAGAATCTTTTTTTTGGGGGGGGGGGCTAAGACTAAGACTGGAGAAAAATTGACTGGCACTGAGGGGTAATCATTAGAATACTAAAGAACCTAATGGGGGAGGGGCTGAGGTAAGTTTTACTGTGCCGCAACTTAAATGCTCCATCTCCCATTTGATAAATGCTGACTGTTTCCTACAGAAGTTTTAAGTATGCCCATCTACCTCAACCATCGTTAAAGTAAGACTAGTTTCTCCCTGAAGTGAAGGTGAATGGGATTTTTGCATTGTGTGTCATTGCCTTTCACGTGATAGCATGAACCCCCTCAATTAGCTTCAAAATTTCTTGAAAAGCATTCTGGGTTCCGAATGAGGAAGAGTTATTACTCAGTCTTACGCTCGAATAAAAGAAATGATCTGTAAGAAATCCGACCCCAGCTACGATAAATGCCCGTTTATGCGAAAAAAAAATTAAGCCAGTGAATGACATTTTTTCTGGGTTTCTCACTCTACATGATTTTGCATAATTATTCGCTTGTAATATGCCTGCTCGTATCTTCCCCCACCCCCACCCCCACGACTTTTCCTTTGATTTCTCTTTGGTCACATACAGGAATTTACTTGACCTATAATCTGATTATTTCAAGAGTGACTCACACAAGAAGGTTACGAACCACTTTTAAAATCGGAGCGTTCAAAACACGACATCTTGTATGATTCAGCCCATTAAAACCAAAGGAAAAAGTGTGAATCAAATGAAACTATCTTGAAAATCGCCGTCTAATCCGTACGTGAAATGTTTTGGCGACCGTTTTTTTTTGTATCAAAACACAAAGCTACTCAATATCTCGGTGATCATTACTCATACATCGACTTACACATTAAGAAGGTATACTACTAAGTACTTCATAGAAACTGAAACAAAATGAGTAAGCCATAATGTTCTAGAATTTTTTGCAACAAAAACCGTCAAATCATTGGCTTAAAGGAAAGTTGTTCCCAAATTCAACTTATGGAAATTTCAATCTGGCACCGGCCGAGATCAAGCAGCTTTCGAATTCCAACCCCTTGACACAGAATGTTTCATTTCTCGGTGACTGGCATAAAATGTCACAAAATGTTGCTTAAACATTCAAGGATGCAAAGGGAGAGTCATTTAGATGTAAACTTATTCAATTTTTGTTATCCAAGAGGAAAGTAAACTCTGATTGGAGAAGCGATCCCGCTCAGGTTTGGCTAATAGAGAGCAAATCATGACTATAAATAAGTTAAACCTGAAATACCTCCGGGAATAAGCGATATTAAAGCAATCCTAAACAACACAGCAGCCATTTCTTCAACGTAGGACTTGTTACTGTTCAGTGACTTTCTATACTCTGTGATGAATGATTACAGAACTCAATATATATACACGTTTCTCGCCTAAAATCAGTTGTGATCATCAACGACTAGCGAAATTTGAGATCCAAGAGATTGCCGATTTTGACCCCTTTTGACAGGTGTCAGAAAAACTAGTGATAGTACAATACCGGAGCTAAAGTTCGATTTTTATTACAATACATGCATTGAGGTTGTGTGTGCATTGAAAATGGTGAATTGAAAAGTTTCATACCCTTTGTCTGCCTTTCTACTGAAGATCAGGTTTAAGTTATTGTAAGCCTGAGTTTTGAGAGATTTGTTATCTGAACGTGATACATTCGCATGCCAAACAACCACCCTTTATGACGGCCGGAAGTTGCACAAGTGGCTTCGAAAGTAGCTATCCGCAAAAGATAGAAAGTTTTGAAGATATCCTGGGTTTGAGAGCGTATTTTGACGCAGCGCTTTCGAGTGGGTAAGGAGATGTAGAAATATGGTTTGCCTTAAGCTTGCAATTTTTCATCTTATTTCCAAAAAAGCGAATTTGCAATACTTTGGTTTCTAACCGGTTATATTGGTTGGTAAAACTTTCATTTGAAACACCGAGCAGAAACTCGTTGAAGAACTGGGCGCGCTAGTGTCAGCATGTGCATCTTGTAACCAAAATTGAGCGAAACTTGTAGGTTTATTATAATGGCGCTCTCTCATTGACGTTTAATGATTGCTGGCGATTAATGTTAAGACCCATAAGATTAACTATATTGAGACTTATTTTAGAAAAGATGCCTTTTATTCATCTGAGCATCAAGCAATGTAGAATTACAGTACATTCAGTTTCCCCTGAGTGAACTGCGAGGCTGAGATGGCCTGGTGAACCTGAAAAAAGGAAAGAGCAGGAACAAAATTTAGTTCAGATTACAAAGTTACATCGATACCGAAGTCAATTACTAGTGCGTGACACCAGCGCCAGACCGGTCAATGATGACTTGTAATTACAGTCACAAAAGTTACGCTATCACGCTACAGTAGTTACATCCTTGATGACACGTGTTTTGCACATTGATCTTCCAAAACCCAATCAAATTTACTAGATTGACTTAACTAATAAAAGAAATAAAGATATCGGGAAAATTTTTCGTACTAGCTGACCTAGTGCTCATTCACACTTGTACTTCACAGTAAGATATTTTCTGACTCCTCGGCACGGATCACCAAACACGCTTTTACTCGCATGCAGTGCACAACTGACTTTCCCTTTGCACGTTTTCTGCACAATGCCAAGTGACGTGGAGGCACGGCAATTGGTCACTGTAGACTTGCCACACGTGTTTTTGTTGAGTCGACCATAATTTGCATGCAGGATGTTCATTTTCTTCCCTTTCTTGCAAGTTATGGTAGTTTTCTTGGTTTCGCAGATCGTCACTGATTTAGGTTTGTCTAAGGTGAAAAATAAACAGCAACGCAAGGTCTTTAAAATTGAATTCACTGCGTTCTTGAACTCAAGACTATTAACACCCAATGTGTGTTGCAATTTATACCGCTGTATATGTCCCTTCACTTCTTCAAGATAGAATGATTTACTGATATCTTTGGTAAAAATTCCGCACAGCCCCATACTATTGTAAAACAAATCTGTTTTCCCAATGGCAATGTATTGTTTTTGTCATTGTTTTCTCTATCCAAGAACCGAATGCATAATGTAGTATGGGGCTGTGCGGAAATTTTACCATTTCTTTCTTTCGCAGTGCAATCGTTTCTCGAAACTAGAGGGAAAACAATTCTTTCTACAATTCTCTTGGACAAGCTGTTTTACGACTAGTTTACATTCCGAAAGAAGCTTGTGGACACTGAAATTTGAAATTTTTGCGGTGCCTCTTGAGTGTGAATCATGCACTACGACAAATTTTAACATAAAAGCAGAAACTCTCACCTCCGTTAATCGCCTTTCTCATCATCTTTGTAATGGTGGTCAGTTTACGGTCTAACTTGGTCAAGCGCTGGAAAATCTTTGTGTTCGCTGATAAAAATAGAAACATAACGAAATTCAGAACATTAGGTCATGATCACTTGAAGCAGAACCTCGGATCACATCGGACAACTATTTCCTCAGGAGACGTTCAATTCAATAAATTTGTTGTCGTAGATAATAAGCTTTCCAAACCTTATCCTACCTTTCCTCAGTTGTTTTGTTGCCAAGTCAATTGCACCAATTCTGCTATGAGTGAAGCGAAGAGTCAAGTCAACGGAACTTACAATGGACAAAACTTGTTTGAGATTTTTCTTCTGGTTGGGGCAAACTGCTTTGAGCTTGTTAGAGATTTGTTTTATCATAAACGCTTCTCCCTTTTTAGCTCGTTTAGCTTCGGAACTAAATGATGCCAGGAAGGCTACGAGCGCCAAAACAACGAGAACGCAAGTGAATTTCATGTCAAACTAATTTGAGGCAAGGGCTTCGTCTCCTCAATCAATCTCGACCGAAACTGCAATGGTTTTTCTTCGAAGAGGAAGACAATGTAAATTCTCGCTCTTTGAATCAAATTTCGCCGTTTTTTCATGTTGGTTGTCAAATATCTGATGACCCAATTTGATGATCTGTTTGACGAGCTTCCAAAATATCTTCCGCTCTGAGAATTATTGATAAATTTCACGTCACCGAAGAGCTGGTTCGAAAGTCCTTAATTTTGAGTCTTGATCTTAGATACAATATGTAATTAAATCGGACTAGTTCTTTTTCTAAATCCGTAAGGGTTTCTTTTCTTTGTTCTAACTCTGACTTCCTCTATATATATTTTTGGACTTATTTCTGAAGCTTAGACTGACTGTAAATATTTGCTGACAACTCGATCAAAGCATGCTAACACGAGATTTTGACGTATGTATACTAAAATTATTCAAAGTACGACCCTGCATACATCAACAAAGAAAGAAAAAGAGCTTTTTATCAAAGATACATGCAGCATTCTCCCTTTTCATTTTACTGCTTCTCACACACGAGTAGAAGTGATCCCAATTCTTTCCCCTACTGTATACGAAATTAGAAATATTAAGCATACTTGAATACACAAGCGACAATACACTCGATTAAGGTAAACAAGAGATTTTTGGAACGCATGTGCTTACGACACTCCAGGGCTGATGGCCGTGTTATTGAATATCTTCTGCTCTCTTACCGATGATGACAAACTAAAAGCTCTTAGACAGCTCCTTACTCTTGGTTCAATTTACGAAACCCCGATTTGTTCTGTCCCATTAATACCTGATAAAATTAGTAAAGCAGCTAGCGCACGATTCATAAGAGTCTAATATAAAAAAGGAGCAACAACACTAATAACATCAGGCTGGTAAAAAATAAGACATTTTATTGTAAGCTACTATTCAGATACTGCACAAACATATTGGAAATTTTCTTCGTATCTTCGACAGGATGCATTTTAGTGTAGGTAATAAATTGTCGACGTATTTTTCTTAATTCTGCCATGTTTGCAGTCCTATTCAGAACAACGTGGAGACAAAACTGTCAAGGAAATATGCACATCATTTGAAATTTAGAAAACCGTATTGTTATCAATTGACTCACTAAGCGGTCACTTGTGATATGAATCGACTCTTTCGAGTGCATACCGACACTGTAAGTCCTCTTTGGGCGAGGGCAACCAAGTGCCCAAAATTGCTTATCCTTCCGTTCTTAAGGGCGGAAAAAAACATGGTATGTTTTGTAAAAGGATATTTTCTCCGATGTTCCCGGGACCGTGATGTGATCCCCAGGTACAAACGTCCGTTGGGAATTTATCAAGACCTAAAAGAAAATCACCATTGTGAAAGAAAAGCTACAAATGGTTTATCACTTTCACCAATTGCAGAGGTCTATTAAACAAAAAAAAATGACAATCAGATTACAGGAAACTACAAATGAATACCATCTAAATTTTTCACCTCTTTTGTTTCATTTGGTCTAAGAAGACAATTAACGACACCATCATTCAATTATAAATGACATTACCATGTATCTCTTTCAGGATTTAAATAACAGTCAACATTAACATTCGTCTAAAAGCCCATGTTATCATGAGATTCATGTAAAGTGAACAAAAGGGATTACTTACAGTAACTATTTCTTGAGTTATTTTGTCAAGCTCGTAGAGGAAGTTTGTTGCTGACAAAGGTTGCTTGAAAACAAAACAAATTGAACTGGTAAATAATTAAAAAACCAAAACCTCTAAAACATCGTCATTGATAGTGAAAATTGTGCTGCCTGGCATCAAAACACCATGAACTGCATTTAAATGCTAAACTGGTCAAGACACTGGGACAAATGTCACCCATTGACAAGTACTCAATTGAATGTTATGGAAGAAAGGCATTACAAAAATAACTAGTCTGCAGAGCAGGCATATCTTTTAGCAGGTAAGTGTTCAATACTACTAACCAAGTGTTGAAGCCGCCATATCTGATTGGTAACATTAAGCAAAGCATGGAGCAGATTAACCAGACAAGAGAAGGGCTTGAGAAGAAATAAAATTTCTTTCCCAACCCCCAACCCAATTTCCTAGCTTGTTACTCTCTCTACTTCTCCCCTAGTGCTCTTGTTTTACTTGCCTAAAGATTTCTTCAAGTTTAACGATCCAACATCGCTGCTTCAACACTCAACTGGCATATTTTGCCCTAACTTGCTAAAAGATTTACCAGCTAATTGCAAGCCAGTAAGGCTTAAGCAAAATGTCTTCCAAGGGTGACAGCCAAAGCTCAGCAGATACATGATTCAGGTCAATTCAAATTCCATATGCCTTACCGGTTGAGTAGCCTGGTTTGGCGGCGGTGGTACTCTGTTGATTAATGCATCATATATAGATTCAAATGGAAGGTCATCATCAACCTGAAGTAATGAAGAAACTGATTTAAAAATAGTAACGATGAGAAAAAGAAAATGTACATTCCATGGGAAGCTCCTCTCAAATTCCTGTCCTTCAAATTGAAAAAAAAAACAAATAAACTAATATAAAGGACAACAAAGGAACCAAAAAAGGAAAAAACAAAAAAAACCAAAAGAATTAAGCCTTTTCCTATTACAAGTAACTGAAATACACCTGAAGTACATAAAAAATCTTACAAGTCATGTAAGTTTTGTGCAATTCCTTAAGCTGCATAACATGTATTTTAATATTTCTCATGGAAAGTAGAGGCAAATGTCTCTTGACCTCTATAAACTGTATTTCTTAAAACTGAAAATTTGAATTGCATGTATTATACCTGGATGACAAATAACGGAGAGTCCCATCTGTTCCTTGAGTCAGGTGGCTCAAACCTCATTACTAAAGCATCTAATCTGATTCAAACAAGATGCAGCACAAATACTCAAACTCAGATTATAAGAAAAGTTTTGACAAGGAACAGTAAAGTAAAATCACTGCCATTTTAATAGTTGTGCAATCATAAATGACAAACTACATTTTTGTAGCACTGGGTTACAATGGCAATACGAGTGTCTTTTATCACTTTGTAGAGAGTAGAATAACACAAATTTTGATCAGTAAGTCATAAACCTAAACTGAAGATTCAAAACAAAACTAAAGCACATGTATGTTACATCAGTTCTTACCAAAAGCAAAGAGTAAAAATTGTACCATTTTGGTTACTGAACACTGTCTAAAGATCACGTTCTGTCACAACACAATATAACCATCATAAAAATGGTAAATAATAAATGATTTTGTCAATCAAAGCTTTTTTGTGTGGTTTGAGCTTAGACATAAACTGTGCAATATATGCAAACAACAGACATATACGAAATACTACTAAATATTATAGGATTCAGTATTTGTGTATTAATTAAGTAAGCCAACAGTACTCACATTTCATCATTATATCTACTTTCTCTTGTTTTATTCCACTCTGAACAGATTTCTTTAGAAGTGTCACAATGCACCTTAAAGTTAAAATTAACATGTGTTAATACCTGACTAGCACTGATCTCAGAGTTGTAAAAGTAGCTATGAAAACCTAGAAAATCATCCTTTGTGCTTTTCTATTCTTGAAAAACACATGGAAAATATTGATCAGAAAAGGTTGTTTTTCTTCAAATTTGCTCTTCTTAATAAGCAAAGCAGTAAAAATAATGTTTACATGACATAAGATGTTTGATTTTGCCACTTAAATTCTATTGTTACATCTGAGAGGTCTAATTTAACAGCTTCAAAATCTCAGGGCAAACAATTGACTTCAGCATAAAGCTTCTGAGAATGAAAAAGAGAGTTTTTAGTGCTTATTCCCCATTTCCTTGTTGCAGCAATATATATATTTTTTAAACTTAATTTTTAAATACTGATTCTAAACTGTCTAATGTGACCGAGGAGCATTACTGATGGTGGTCAAGTCAAAAATCACCTGTACTTACAATACAATGTGTGGTCTTGTGTGCCTTTGCAACACAGTATAACTCATATCTATAACCTGAAAATAACCAAAAGTAGAAACATGGTTATTTCACTTGCATGGATATGTACAATGTTGTGGTGAATGCAAAATATTTAGATTTCTCACAAATAGGTCTTATGTTTTTGCACCCATTAAATTACACTTACTTCCCTCATTTTTACACAATAATTTCCTGTAATGTCTGAGACCTGATTCAAATATGGTTACATGTTGGTTACATGTTTTTGCAGTCACAATAAGATATCAAGTTTTGGAGAGAACATGGTCTGTTTTGAGTTTAAGTTTTAGCTTCTGCAAGATTGTCAAACAAGATTTCATTTGTTATTAGCAGAATAAGGCACAAAAATCTTGTAAGTATAGATTGGTTTTTGTTAAGCTTTCTTATAATTTGTGATTCTGTCATTATTTTGCTTTATTCAGCGGATTTATGCATTTGATTTCAGTGAATCGTTGCTCATGTAATAACAAAAGTTTACAGTTCAGTGCATATCCAGTTTTCTTGTTGCCACTTTCTAGTAGTGAACATTGGATTCCTACATTTCCTACACCAATATTTTCCCACTTTATGCAAATTACACCTCCCCCTATATATCAGGTTTCACCCTCCTTTTGGCAGTGTGTGTAATTTTTGTGTCAATGTACACCTCTTCTCTGTGAGTGTCTTTGAGTCTCATATATTCCCTTGGCGTTTGGTTAGTTTTTGTCCAATGAATGTTTACATTAATTTTTCACCTCTTAAATAGTAAATTTTTGTAAAAGTGGTTTTTCTGTTCCTTAGGAATTTTACTTCTTCACGTGCATATTAAAGAGTAGTAAAATTTAATGCTGACTAAACATGTTGGATTGAAGTGGGCCTGGCTTGCACCTTCACACAGATAGTTACATTGCAACCTGACAAGCAAAAATCTATGATCTGCTTCTATATTCAGTGTGTCGATTTAACAATTTATAGATTTCATGTTTCTATGTGCCTGTTCAGCAAAAAATGGCACACAATTATCGTATTTTAACTTTTCTGCAATCTATAACCATACAGACCCATGACAACATAGAAACTATTTGTTTTATAAATAAAAAGCAAAATGCTATTAATGCATGGTGACATTATACATACATCTATCCTCCAACAGAAAATACACAAGAATCCAACAAAATGTACATATTATTCAACTAATTTTATATAATGTCTGATTCATTTCTTACTCTCCTTATTCATTATTTTCCTAATTTATTCATTCATTGCAGGTTTATGATTGGTCTAGGTGGAATGAAAATAAAAGTAGCTAAAAAAATAAAAAACACTGTGAATAATCAGTAAGAGAGTCCTTGAATCCATTAAAAAAAGCACCATGCTTAATAGAAAAACAGGAATATGTCCCTTACCAAACCCTTGAACATATACCTCAGCTCCTATCAATGATTATCCTATTTAACTCAGGAGTATTGTTTGATTTACATCCAAGCTACATTCACTGAAGTAATAGTTCCCAATGACTGCTAAGTTATGAGTAATTTTATCGTCCCTGAATATAAAATATTCCTTAATTGTTGTTTCATCCAAAGAAAAATACTTTAAATTACCTTTTATGTAATTGAGGGAGTCCAAAATAACTACATCATCTCTTGAAATAAGCCTTGTAAGAAAAATGAACACATAACTAAATCAGAATTGGGAATTGAACCAAATTAATTTGGGGAGAAAAATGAGTTGGGGTTGTAGTAACTGACTTACCGTAACAGTTGTTTCATCGCTCATTTCAGCTTATCGCTTAAATATATTTATAATACGTTTCTGAAAAAAATTAATGACACTTGTCACTAAGTCAACTGTGATGTTAAAATAAATGGCTACCTTTCCACTGCAGACTTTAAAAGACCTCTTGCTTCCTTTTCATTTGCTGAGGCTGAAACATAAGTTCAAAATGACACCAATTGAAAAATGAGTACATTAGTACACATGGTGTGTCGATCTAATCGATGGCAAGGTCATGTTTGACTTCTTTTGGATTCAGTGAAATGCAACTAAATGTCCCAGTATGCAATCATTTTGCATTTATCGTTATTTACACTGCAATATTTAATTAAGTTAAAATAAATTTAACTTATAATACCTGAATACACAGTATTTCTGTCCAAAGAGCTATTTTCGTCGCTCGCTAAATAGACAGTTTTCCCCCTGTTTTCCAAGTAATTCCTTAATTCCTGTGCTCTCTTTGACTTTCCAGAACAAGGAAATCCACACATGATTATTAGTGGCATCTTAAACACATATATTCCGCCAATTTGAAGAGGAGTTCACGACAGTATTTCACAAGACACTTCGGCCGCCATATTGAAACCGGAAAGTTTATATATAGACATGATATCCTTATATGGAAATACTCCCTCCAGTGCTCCCGGTCAAACCCATTTCACTTTTCGAACATGGCGGACATTGTGAGCTTCATCAGACTTTGTACATTGCTTCAGCTTGTTGTGTGTCAATTTTGCTGGTGTGATAGTTCTGTTAAAATCCTCGATGATAAATCTTTTGAGCACTTGACTCAAGCCTCAACGGGAGCAACAACTGGAGATTGGTTGATAGTTTTGTAAGTTTTTATTTCTTTCTTTCTGTTCATGAGGATTTGCTATTTTCTCTTCACTGTCTTCGGATAATAATTTAAAACACTAAAATGCTTTTGTTCTTGTCGTCTTCATATCCCTAATATGCAGCTCTTTCACTGAACGGGATCCAGAGTGTGTACAATGCAAGAAAGCAGATGAGGCAGTTGAGAAAAGTCAAGAACGGTATGTATACTCTCGAAGATTATTTGCGCTTCAATATGTTTGTGTTAGTTACTTCCATGGGCTTATAGGTACCATGATTATCGTTGATCAGTTTGGTCTCAAATAAATTTGCAAGGGATTTAACTTTCCCTGGATGTTAGTCTTTTTGTTTTGTTTGTTTGTTTGTTTGTTTGTTTTTTTCATATTTTTCTGGGAAAAAAGTGTTTACACTTTATTTGCCCAAAAACAAATCAACCATCCAAAGCTAAACTGGAGTAATTCTCTATTCAGGGTCCAATCTTCAAATTAATTGCCCGTCCCTGCATCTTCAATCAATACATGTATAAATCTGTTAAATCTGTCAACCAGGTAACTGGGTGTCTTTTTAAGGAGTTACGCATACAGGTTTTCTTTTTTTTACTTCACATTTTAGGTTGGGCCACAAGTTGAATTTTGCCAGAGTGTTACCACCTAGAAGTAAATGTAAGTTTGAATTTTGTAGATCACCTTTCCTAATTTGCAAATGGCAATTTAGTTACTTTGTGAATTTGGCATGATGTTAATTGCCATTATAGGTAGGTTAAGTCTGCCAGTCTATGACTACGTTGGTCAGTCTGATCAGTCTGACACCTAGCCAGGCAATCTGTTAGTCAGTCAGCCAGCTCATCAGGCAATCATCTGTTAAGGCATCCTATTAGCCAGCCAGCCATTCAGTCAAGGAAACAGTCAATCATTTAGAAAAGTCAACCAGTCAGTATATCCCCACTCAATACTTTTTCATTCAGTTATAAGACTAGATACTATTAGCAACCATAACAGGGATTTTTAATACTTTAGAATCCACCATTGCTCAGTGAATTATTTACCATTTCATTGTTAGACCCAGCTGATGTCCAACCTTAAACTTTTTGATTTTCAGTGACACTTAGAAGATTCGATGTTCACAAATGGCCAACTGTTCTTCTGTAAGTTCTCCAGAATGATTTTTGACACCAGCAGCTTGATACTAATTAAATAGAGGGTGATCCTTGTATCTTGTTTCAATTCATTAAAAGAGCCTTGGCTTTCTCTTTGGTAAAACGAAACACACTGATAAATAGATTAGCACCCACATTATTACAATTTGCAGCTGTATGTCTGTTTGAGTAGAGAAGATTTATTATTGGTAACCATAACTTTGTCATATCCTTTTTGTATAATTAAGGAATTATCATGGAAGGTTATTGTGAACTTAAGGCTCAAATGGTTTAAAACTAGATTATTTAAAATTTACTTTAAAGATGTTGGAAATGATGATAAATTATGCCAGGAACAAAGGAAACTACAAATTGAATAAGTCTGAAATCACTTACACCTGGTCCTGATTGTCAACGCTAAACTTCATCAGATAAATCACTTTTTGGTGGATAGAGCACAGTGCATTTTTTTGTCTCATCTCTGCTGGATAGTGATATACATGTATCCAGTGGATGGCATTTTTCACCCATTTAACAACGAGGCCTTAGAATTTAATTTAAACTATGATGCTCAGACTTGTGGAAAATCTCACAGTTGTGACTTTGAAATGCTGACATCTCTTACCTTGTTTTTAATTTTTTCAGCCTTAAACAGGGCAAACAATATCATTACTCATCAGAGAATCTTGATGCAGAGTCTTTTGTAAATTTTGTCGAAGAAGGTTACAAGCTGGCAGCAGTTACACCAGTACCACCTCCTATAGGAAAATTGTAAGTACCGGTATTAGTTACACTTGTCTACAAATTCATGTTCATATAGTTTTTCAGCTTGGGTATTTCACTTATATCAACTCAGTTGGTAAAACAAAATTATCTTGTAAAACCCATCACAGATGTATCACCTCAGTGTCTTTGGAAATTTACCCCCTGTATAATTAACAATTGAGATAACATATTAGATGGGAAGAAAATGGTAATTCAGGTATACATGGTTGACTTGTGGATTGAGACTGGGTTTTTCACAGTTGATGTGTTTAGCTTCCTTGAAATTTTGTGAAGGCAGAATCTGAGACCTAGGAAAGCATGTTTTCCAAAATTGAAATTTTTGGTGGTTTGAAAAATATCTCTTGTAAAGTAAATTGAAAAGAAAATGATTACCTTCAGCTTTGCGATGTGAAAGAGGAGAGGGAAGGGGGGACGACTTCTAAAGGCCAGCAAGATATCTTCTAAGGACTATTGGTAACATTTGTAACCTTCACCAGTTAACCCTTTGGCACCTAAGAGTGACCACAATGTAATTTCTCCGTACTTTAATACTGCTGATTCATTCTTTGATATAATGAGAATAAAGTAGCTATTAATAGCTAAATCTTAGAAGTTTTGATTGTTAATCAAATTCTCCTTGTCAGTAACAAAGCAAATGTATAGAAAAGAGTATGGAGAATATGGAAACTTATGCTCAGGTTTAAAGGGTTTAATTTTCTCTTTAACATTTTTGTTTTGTTTTGTTTTTTTGCTTGTTTGTTTTTTATCATTCAGCGATGTTTTCCTTGAAGAAATCATGGATGATGTAAGGGTAAGTATACATCATTGTCAACATCTTTACTTCTTGGTTCTTAATCATGATTTTTTTCTTAGTATTTCTTTTACTCCATAGGGTACTAGTTAAAATTAGCTACTCCTGAATTTGAGATAAAACATAGCTCTCTTAATGAAATTCATGTAAGGATTAGCAAAGAATTGAACTGGTTTGAAAAACTTTAAACTTAGATAAAATTTTAGCAAATACAAGTTCTGATTTAGTGACTTTGACGAGTGAAATTAATACTTCTTATTCCATCACCAGCACATTATAATGCTGAGAAAAAATGCAGCTGCCATGATTTTTATTGCGGGAATACTGTTTGGTCTAATGATCACACCAGTACTTAAATTGTTGGTGGTATGTCTCTACAACTCGTTCCTACAAGAACCAGACTCAGACCAAAACTTTGAAGATGAGGGTTTGGGAAAAGATGAAGTTGATGAAGATGAAGGAGAGGAAGAAAAGAAAGACAGATGAAATGGCCAACTGTTGTGAACTTGATACATATAATGCTCTATCAGATCTCTGAGACCATCTTAGAACTTGGGTTCTATAAGATGTTTATAGACCATATTATTCTAACCAGTCCCAAAGGAGATTATTCTTGCTTACATTGAGGCCTCTAATGAACCTTAGATTGACTTATTACTTCTGTGTTGAATCGTCTCCAGAGACTTATTTATTACTAGTTGTTTAGTATACACATAAAGAAGATCTTTTCATAGCTTTTCTGATAAATTCCAATCAGCACTAGAAAAACGTTATATTTAAGAAACTATGAAACAATTATTTTACAAACAGATTTCATGTTTCCGTGCGTCTATTCAGTAAAAGATCACAGGTAACGTCAAAATATGATCAGAACAAACACGTGGCACATGAGGCGCAGCCTAGTGTGTCACTGATAGTCTTACCACATTTTGAGATCTTTAGTGAACTATTACGGAACAGACCAACGGTAATAAGGAAACTATTTGTTTTATGTTTATTAGAAATAAGCAAAATTTGTAGATGTTAATGACATCTATACGACTATCCTCGAATAGATCATGAGTAGGAGCCAATCACAAGTTGTGTTTACACTGTTATTTGGCCTATTATCTAACAACATAAACAATCATCTAACATAGAGTATGTTTATGGCGTAATATGCAGATAAATTCCTATTAAAACATGACAAACACCTCAGTATCAGTTGAAGAAGTCACTGATCCCTGCCTAGCTCGTCCATATTAATTAATAGCCAACAACTGTCGTGATGATTTTTTCTTTATTGTCGACTTCTTAGCTTTTTTGCACGTGTAAAAACTTTCATCTTTCATATTCGTTGTTTCTGATTAAAGAGAAAAAAACAATTCTAGGATCTCAATTTACACGGGAGCTTTCACAATTTTTTACTTCTCCTTTCGGAAGCCCGTTGCTTTCGAAACCTGGTATTAGTGTTTTATCATCTGTCGATCGATGAGGACTAAAGAACTTTCAGATGCCATCTTTCAGGCTAAAGTTCAGACAGCTTGTCATTGCCGTCATATGACGATTTGTATTTCAAAGCTTCATTTTAAACTAATGCAAAGGTTAGAAATGAGTCGACTCGTGATGTCCATATGCTCCGCAGTCATTTAAGTTATGAGTTAAACTAAGAAAGGTTGGCGAGAGCAACTTTCATTTGGGTATAAAACCCTGTGTTGCGCGTGACTTCTACGCTTCTACTCCGATTTCTCGTACCTGTCATCGCGTCCTTTGTCTTAACAGTTTTTACATAGTTGCAGTCAGCCTCATTTGTGATCTGACATGAAAGGTCACATTCATCGTCTATTTTTGACCGCTGTAAGGATCTCCGATACCATGATTAAAGCTATTCCCCCCGCCTCACATAGAAAATGAAATGAAATAAATAATTAAATAAAGGCTTCGGCTAAAAAATTCAAAAATGTTTTAGTTGAAACCAGCCCGCTTTTTTTCCCTTTTAGAATGGTCTCCGATTTGCCACACGTCCCAGCTAGACCTTACATAACCTCAAACTCTCCAGGGAATACAATTGGCAAGGTAACATAATCAATTGTCCTTTCTTTTTTCACTTTCCCACCCCCTGAGTGAGTAGCTCATGTAAACATGTGCCCAGACATATTTTCTGTATCCTCCATCGAAAACCGGGGCTCTCTGAGTGTTCTTTTAACTCCGAAATGTACCATATGGGCTTTCGTTTCATTAATAACAATCTCGAAACGTTGAATGTTTGCCAAATCACCGCGATATGCGGATAAAGACAGGAAGGGGAGGGTAGGCTATTTATAATGGTTTTCTAATTATTGACTCATTGGAATGCTAATGAGCTTTCTAACGCATACTCACATGTTATCAAGCTGTAAATAGATCTCACTGAAAATTGTAGCGCATGTCGCATTCACATCGCCTGCAGGGTCTCTTACCGCAGCCATTTCAGTTTTTTTTTTCATATTTCAAGCACAATCCATACACAGAAAAATAACCCCATTTTTAATCAAGATTTTTACTTCATCGAAGCGCTCTACAAAGAATTTCGTGAGCAGAACCTGAAGGATTATTGCGAGTGTTTACGAGGAAGACAATTTGTTCATGGCGATGAGTTTTGGTTCGTGTTTCGGCGCCCGGTCCCGAGCACCCGAAATGGTAAGTAGCGAATGTAGTCTTCGAAATTACAATTCTCTATTACCAAATTGGCCGAGGTTCCAGTTGATGATTATTTATGTACGTCGCCTTAAGTTGTGTAACCTTCATGGGTACATTATAAATCAACTCTTTTGAAATACTCAGCATATACAGGACCGAGATCTATTCGATCGATATATGTCCAACTTTAAGGAATCTAGCGCCACTGTGTCGGTGGAATGTTTTACGTTAGTAAGTGGCAACATTATGACTGTTTGATATCAAATACTTTGGCAAATATTGTCCATGTTTCGCACATTTCCATTCCTGGAGAGCGTGGCAAATCTTTATTGCGTTCGGTGCTAAATGCTGAGTAAATTCACAGTCATTTGTCGTAATTTTACTTTTATAATGTATCGCTCCAAATAGTACGCCATTTTCTTGCAGTTTTAACTCCAAGGCATAAGGTATAAAGCGAGAAATACTTCGGGAAGGTTCAGCTGTGTTTTCGAACCTTCCATAACAATCCACCCTGTCAGACTTGTTGCTCTCTGTCACACAATGGCGAATATGGAAATTACATGAATCTGTTAAAATTGTTTTACCCTCTCCAAAGATTTTGTTCAGTTATCGTTCTATATCATTGATTGGACTTTATTTCATGGCTCATTTCGGCTTGGACAAAACAAAACTTAAATTAAATGTCCGCGACGAAGTATTGTGGTTTTCATAATAATTTGGTTGTCAAATTTTCGACTCTAGGTGAGAAAAGACCAGATAACGCGGATTTACACGTATCAATCTCCTACCTATTATGGGTTTGAAAGAATCACTAACAACTTCGTAATAATTAAGACGTGTGTGCGAGAGAATGTGTTACAAAATTCCAGAAGAGCTTCGTTCCTTAACAAAATGCCCTGGAGCAAATTTTAGTGACTCTTCGTCAGACCCCCTCGGTGACAAACAGTTTGGACAAAAGCATGCGTAAGAGCTAACCACTCTTACGAAGTTTTCGATCCTGTTCCGGATACCTTGTGATTGGCTTCGAAGAACTTACTTTGTCATCAATTTCGATTCACATCTGTTTGTCATTTACGCCGTGAATTTCCATTTCTGCGCCTTCCGCCAGTAAAGCGTAACATTATTTTGTTGTTTCTCCTTTGAATACCGATAAAAACAACGTTGCTACGTCTGTAAAATGGCGTGTTATTTCAGTTTGTTTTAAAATCCTGTTGGGTTTTCAATATTGGAAGGATACCGTACTTTAGAAAGTGCCAGTTCAGTCTTAAACAATGATATCATTGTGAAAAGTTTGTATAATTTTTCTCCATGATTATTTTGTTCCACGTATGAATCTGTATGGTTTTTTATGTTCGATGATGTAGCTGTTAGTTTTTGTAAGTTTTGTCAATGCATGCTTCAGTAAACTTCAGGAAACAGTGGTTTGTAATACTTCAAACAACGCAAACCGGAAGTCAACTAGCATGTGACTTCTGCTACCCACAATGCTATTGGGTAAGACGACCGCACCCTCGTGGAAGTGTGGGAAGGGAACCGAGGTTGTTTCTCGAACCGTGGAGAGCAATTATGTTTTGAGATAGTCGCGATGACTTTACGTCTGCAGTTTGGGTAAAAAAAACTCTTCGTTGTGGCCAGCATCGGTCAGGATCAACCTGATGAGTAAAATGAGCGAATTGTGGTTGTGCTTTCCTTGCTGTGTCACGGAACAGCCGCCGCCGGTAGATCGAATATGCTCGTCTTTTCTTTCCTTGGTTCGACTAACCATTTCATCGATTCAATATTGCGATCCAAAGACTGAACATTCTCTCTTTATTTGCAGAAAAGACGAAGAATAGACAGAAGTATGATTGGAGAACCCATGGATTTCAAAGTAAGTGCACTATTTTGGCGATTAGTCCTTGCTTTTACGTGCCAGTTCAGATCTAAAGTGGTTAACTTCGAATCTTTGATTTTGATCTGAAGCACACGGGTCACATCGGCAGCGGAGACATGGCTTCTGGATCCGATGTAAGTTAAAATTAACGACATTGTTCTCTCATTAAAACCCTTCTTTGACTTTCTGAGGAAGTAGGCTTTAATTCTTGTTAAGTCATTTATTTACGTTTAACAATTGACTTCGAAATGAACGCAGTTTTGATTTTGTGGCATTCTTGTAAACCAACCTCTTTCGAGTAAAACTACGAATTTCCTCGTGGCGATACATGTTGTTCTCTTTCAATTTAAGTTTATTTTATCAATAGCGAGTGTTGACTGAGGGCAGCTACAATCTTACGATGTAAATCTTCTTTTCTTTCTCGTTTTAGCTCGGTTCGATTCAATGTCAAATGCAATCGAAAGGTGGATATCAAGGCATTAGCGTACCAGTAACGTGCACTCCAGCAGGAATTCCAGTGGGCGGGCAGAGTTAATCGCGTATATTCTTGTAGAATACAGTAAGTTCTGCTTTATTTTTTCCTTTTCGTTTATTTTACGAGAGTTTAAGTAATCAAAGTTCGTTGATGAAATTTATTTGCACTTCAAGCAACTTTGCTCAATCAATTTTCGCTTTCGTTGCATCGCTACTGCCATGCAGATATTTTAACTTTGGTGTTATTTAAGGTTATTTGTGATACTATCAGGCAGTGTTATTTAAAAATTTTGTATCCGTTATTATTAAAAGAACAGGATGTGTAAAGATATTTCATCTTTATAATGTAATTCCTACGTACACTGTAGGCGAGAATAATTTGACTTTAAGAATTTCAAAACCCATATTTTAGCATTGATTTTATGTTTAAACTCAGCACTAAACTGTCATGAACTCATGAAAAGGACATGTTGAAGAGTTCAGAGGTATACAACATTACTATCATAGATTATGATATGAAGTGTCTTTGGAAGAAAATTTTCTTCCTTTTCAAGTTAAAATATGCATTGTCTGTTGGCAACTCCAAACAATGAGTTTTGATATTGATGTTTCTCCCCTTTGTTCTACTCTCTGAGAATGTGACATATACTTCCCGTGAGAAGGTTGTTCATTAGATGTTAGTGATTGTGGAATATTCAAACCACTAAGTTGACCTCTTGGCTGAATTTTGATGATTTGAAGTCCTTTTTATTCACCTCTAGAAACTAGTATGTGTTAACTTGACCCTGTTCCTCTGTTATTTAATTTCTGAAAATGAAAACTCTGGAACAGGTGTGCAACTGCTCAAATTAAATGATATTCTGGAAAAGGGCTGTGATGCCATTAAAAGGATGAATTTTCAGCCATTCTAACTTAATTGTCTTTGTGTGATATGTAAATCCTCTCATGATTCACTTTAAGTGAAGACAAGGATTTACAAGAAGGAAGTTATCTTGCTAAAAGTTACATGAGGATGAAAAGGAAATGTGGCATTTTCAAAATGACTTCACATCAAAATCTTAGATGTCTGTAGTTTCTTTATTATATGCCAGACTCAGATTAAATGCCAACCTTATTTAAATGCAGGGTAAAACTGCTGCTTTAGAAATAAGATTTATGAGCTGCCTTCTTGAGGCCCCTGGAATTAAAGGAAGTACAGGCCTTTTTACTTGTGGTAAACTGCACTCTTGAAAAGCCCTGTTGGTTATTTTATACACCAAAGTCCGCCAGGGAAAAGTATTATTTGAAGGGATGGTTTTTTTATATATATTGGATAATGGAAAAAGTTGTGCTGCCTTGACTAACTACCCTTTACATATCAGAGAGTAAGCAATTATAATTTATATTGAAAAATGACTTAGAATTGCACTCAATATAAAATGCAGAGCCATATAAACCATGGTTTCTCCTGGCTAAGTTTGAAGGGAATACTGGTCGCATTGAATCAAGATATATACAGAACTATTCTACTTGCATCAGGTTACACCTATGTAGAAAGAAAATGTCACATTTAGCAAAATTAAGAGAAGGGGGAGATAAATGAACTTTTAGGATCATTTTTTGGTTTTGTTATGATAACATTGTTCAGAACAAACCAACAACTAAAGTAATCATGCATAAGGAGTGAGTTATTGTATTACCTTTGCTGCAAAATAGTACTGCTATGTACAATGTCTGTGAACATTGCATGTAGAGGAAACTGCACCAGTTTTTGTTTTTTCAGAGTGTGACAAAAAGACCCAAGTGTCTAATGTAGTGCTTTATTAATTGGACTTTCTTACTGTCCAAACTGATAAGAGTGAATGAATTGCAGACATGGTTACTTTACATACTATACCATTACATTTGAAATACATGCATTCAGGGCTTTTTCACCCAATCAAAATCAGTCAAACATTCTTGCTCTAAGAATAGTGTTTTGGCTCAAACCCTCTGTTATTTAAGAGTGTGCATAAGATTATGAAACATGTCTGGGAATGAAGTAATTATTTTGATGTTATCTCACTTGCACCAGTTGCAAATATTACAGCTAATTTTACTGTAACTTATGTTTACTTGTGGCATCTAATTGTCACCTGTTTTGTTCCACTTTTTTTCAGATTACACTGTTTTTGAGGAATCAACAAAATGAAAAGAAAAGATTTCAGAAGAAGTGTCATTACAATACAAATATGAAAATAATAGACTTCTAAATGTATTGCAAAGGCGAGAATTGGAGTGGCATGTGATTCCAGTTGTAAATAATAGACCAATTTGAGTAGCGTGTTTTTATATGACATTAGAATTAGTTTCATAATATTATTATAAATACCTAAAGATCTCCCTTAAACTGTTAGCTGTGTATCATAGCTAGCCTAGAATAGTCATCGTACATACAGTTTTTGATTACAACCACTCAGCTTTTTATCTTTTTTTTTTTTTGCTCAGGAAATATTTTAATTGTCTCTACCTTGTTACCACTCCATTGTTGCACAACCAGTTTTCATTGGTCATTTTCTTCCTACAGTAACAAGAGTACCATTGCTTGGATATGATTATTTGCTATTTTCGTATGATCAACATGCTTCTCATTGTATTTATATTATGAAGAAAAATGTTTGTTGATTTTTGTTTTGCCTAGAGGGTTTTAGAATAACTCGGCATCTTTTGTAGTACCAAACTTGTGAGGAAAATAATCCTTTGCTGCCAAATATTTGATGTTACTGTACATAAATAGTTAAGAAATCAAATTGTGACACAACCCCTTAAATAATGAATGAGGAAGAACATTGAATTGAAGAAGATGTATCTACTAGAAAGCAGCTAAGGAGATTTGCAAAATGTGGATTGGAATTGAATTCGACTTTTGGAATATAGGTAGTAAAATTACTCTTGTGAGGTTTTTTGTGTTTATATTTTTATTTACTTCTGCAAGTCGTGCCAGATGTCTCATTTTTATTTCCTTTTTTTTTTTTCTCTAGCTGGATTTTTTTTTTCGTCAGTGGTATTTGATTCAAAGCTATTTGTGAATTGATTTGGCAAAAGAAATTATTATCGGGTATAAGTGGGACGGAGTTAAACATGACAGTCAAACCGCCCTCTGTAGAGATGGTTGAATTAGAATACTTGGAGAGAGTTGGGTCGGGAGTAAGGGCGCGACGCAAGCTTCTGTCGATATTGTGGTGTAATATATTTCTAGCGTGATGAAGGAAGGTCAATTTGTTTACAACGCAAGAAAACCGGCAAGAATTAAACTACATTCTCAAATAAGTCATATTTCGAATGTTGACGCTTTTTCCTCCATTAGATCGTAATTATAATCATCGATCAAGGGGATTATCGCGACACACGACCTCGCTGACAAGGTTTAATTCGAACTGACAGAAAACCTATGGGGGTTTTACCATTGATACACTTGGCGCGTTAATATTAAACAATTGTAGATGAAATCTTCAAATTTTCTTAAAAATGCATAAGATGTAATTGCTAATTTTCATTCGAAGTTTTTTAATCAGAATTTTTTTCCGATCACGACGAACAAAGACGAAATTTCACATGATGAGAAAAGAAAAAGATTGATTGGTGATCGAACAATCTTCTACACCCTTTGAATAAAAGGATGAACCGTTTTAAAAAATTGCTGAGTTGCAATAAGGTTCTCAGAACGCGCTTTTTAAATATACAGAAGACAAGACAAATAAAAAATTCTGTTCTTTGTGGTGGAGATAAAATGTAAATTTTATTCAAATTTAGCTTTGTTCGTAAATTTGAATCGCCAACGAAAGTGTTTTCTTTTTAACCTGATCGTGTTTCCCTCCCGATTGGTTGACTATTTTGACGCGTTGACTTCGCGAACAGAGGTGAAATCGATTAGTTCAAAGTTGAAAGCTGTGTGAAAATAACAAGACCGTTTGGTTATCAAAGGAAAGTTGCAAGGTGCAATGCCGACGTTACGCGAGGCGTTCAACTCTGAGAAACTCACGCCATGTTGGACTATGGTGATATTTTCGTTTATGGTGGCGTTTACGTTGTCTATTTTAGATTTGGCTGTGAATTTAACTGATCTTCATTTACCTGTGGTAATAATGTGGATAGTAACAGTTACTTCTGTTCTTTTCACTGCTGTTTACTGGTGTTATCAGAATTCATCTTTTAAACGCCGGCTCAAGGAAGGATCATGTATGAGATTTGGTCGCGAAAAAGATTTCGAGAAACGATCTCTCTCTCCACGACACAAAGAAGGTTACAGTGAAGAAGAAACGGCAAATTATGGAATGGAAAGCACAACAAGGATTACTCAGGGTGTCTCAAATGAGTAAGCAAAGGGTTATAAAGAACAACGGAGAAATATCACTCCAGTAAGAACGACATAAGCGTCGAAGACTGATTTTTACACTCGGGCAATAGAAATGCCTTTACTAATGAGTTACCCACCAAAACCCACAGGAAAGATCTGGTAAAGAACACAAATCTGACAAAATCCGCCGAAAAGGTAAAATAACGGTCACTTCCGGCTAAGAAAACAATGAATATTATAAAGCCATAAATACAGAAAATAAAATTAATGGCCGGGAGTAAAAAGACGATCTTTCCATTTAAATTTCAAGTTAGCGGTGACTTTAAAAACTTGTGGTACTTTTGTCAATTTTAAGGCTTAAAAGACTTCATAAAATATCTGATAACAAATGCCAAAGAGTTCCAAAGCGAAAAGAGGTTTGTTTAAATCTCATTTCGCTGGACAATGATAAATTTGCATTTCAAAATACCATAAAGTGGCTAAATAAAAGGCTGAAAGTAACGTGTCCAGTTTTATCACTACGAATCTGTTTACACAGAGGAGTGAGTCTGCAACTGGTTCTGTAACTTTGTCCTTTTTTGTTTCTTTAGAAACTCTATGTAGAAATGTTTTGCTAATCTTTCTAAAGTTACTGAATTAATCTAAGATAGGATAAATTAAATTTTATAAGGGTTTTTAAAATTTCCCTGACAACGTGTCATTTGAAAAGTTGCACATTTTCGCAAATCATCAAATTTTCAAGGAGGAAGAAGAAGAAGAGTACGAAAAGGAAGCAGAAGAAAAAGAAGAAAATAAAGGAGAAGAAAATAAAGAAGAAGGAAAGGAAGAAGATAATATCTTTTTTTTACAACAGAATCACGAAACTTCCTCTTCGCGTCGAAAAAAATATCAAATATGCCATTAACCTCAATTTCTGTTTTCCGTGTGTGAGCACGTTTTGCTTTTTCTTTCCTTTTCTTGGTACAAGTATTTAAAACTGAAAACTGGAGCATTTCGGCCAAAAAATGGATTTGGTAAAATTATCAGTGTTTAGTTTAATGGCCTGCTAAAGTCGCTATGCCGCGATACGAGTGGTTTGTTGACGAACCATGAAACTGTTGATAGAGATAGGATTTTGATCCTTTATTTAAACTTGATAGCTTCTAGCTCTTTGTGAGAAGCAGGGGCTTAAAGTCAAAGTGTAGAAATCAAACTATGTCTGGATTAAGAATCCGAACTACTTGGCTCTGATCTTAGTTGAGATGTGATTCGGTGGATTTGAAATGAAATGAAATAGAGAACTGAGAAGAGAAAGATATTTTTTGTCTTGTCACAAGTTTGGGATAAAGAAAAAATTCTGAACCCATAAGGAATTGAACCGCAGGATGCGTCTTCCAATGCTCCACCACTGAGCCATAGAGACACCCACGTGAACAAGGCTGTTACGAAGTTTCTTATGTGATGCGTCCTGCATACTGCTTGGATCTTCAATGTCCAAAGCGTCGTGTGTGTAAATAAACCTGGAGAATATGAAATATGGTAAATTTAGAAACAGTTGTTACTTGTCTTGGATGTTCGCTGTAATTATTTTAATGGACTGCCTAGTTTGATAAACGCTACTGACGGCTTTGACGGTAGAAAAATCTGGAATTCATATTATAATATTAATGCTCTTTCGTTGTGTCCGGGCTATAGTCAGTTACAACAAGGTCTCTTCGTTACAATCCTTCTTCTTTTACACTGAAGTTTTTCAAATACATAACAGCCAACTTTGTTTTTCAAAGAAGGATGTACTTTAGAAACTTAATTAATCGTATTTCTCTCAATAACAATTTATTATAAGTTTGATGAAAATATCTGTTTTTTAAGAGTGTCGTTCTCACAAACACGCGGCTGAAAATATCCGGTATTGCTACATCTTTCCATATTGGGGGAGTAGTGAAACTACGATTGAAAAAGATTATATCACAAATCAAATTACTTTTTAATTGGCCTCTTGCGTCGCTGTCGCCGGCTCCAATTGGAATGAATTAGGTCACGCAAATCATTTAAACGGATCACGGGTCAGAGATTGTTTCCCTTAAAAAAAAAAGCAAAACAAAACAAAACAAACAAGACGGCAAGAAACACAGCCTGAAAGATAAGAAATTAAGATATACAAATAAAAAACAATTGTGACTGTTAATTAAAACTCCTGATGATTGTAATGTATCACTTTCTGGTTAAATCCCTGTGTTTTTCGTTCGTGATCATTATTATCCTTGCTGAAAGAAAGACGCATATCCGAGGTTGCTACTTCTTTCCATTTTTGGGAAATAGTGACAGCATCTTTAAAACGGGACGATCTCCTGTTTACAATGCTGTTTTACCTGTCATGTATGTAATGTATCAGTCTGGCAGGTGCTCCTTGTCTTCCCCTATTTCTGCTTCCTGCTCCAAACGCGGTTTTGGGATAAATTTTGTCATGAATTCGCATATTGTCTGAATTTCATGAGGTTAATCTTTTTTTCTTCAAGAGCTTAGAATAAAAAAAATCGAGAAGTAAACAAAGGATGGAAGAAACCAAAACAGAAAAAAGAAAATAAATAAAAAGTAAAGAACAGTTGTAATTGTGTATAGTCCTACGTTTTTCTTGTATATTATACTAGCCATCCTGGCTGGATGAAGGGCTTGCGTATCCCGTGTGGCTGCTTCTTTCCATGTATGGGTAATACCGACTGCATCATTAAAACAGGATGATCTTTTGAAAATGTCTTCGATATTTTTCTGAACTTTGTATTGCTGATTGACTCATCTAGCTCTTCATATCCTGTATTCCTTTCACTGGCCTGATCTATTTTAAAATGACCTTTGTTCTTAGAGATGTATGAAGTATCGCAATGAACTGCCAGCTATCCAATAAAACTGAAAAAACAAACCAACATTTTGGAACGCAAAATACGTGTTCGTTTATGATAAATCTACTTCAGTTTCAGTGATACCACTGGTATCACTCTCTCTTTTCTGATTGGATGATCTCGTCTCCCAGATCCATAAATTTGGAACCCAGATCCATAGAGTCAAGCGAGAACCACTCCAGCCTTCAATCTTGTTATTATAGCAAGAGCGACTAAAGTGTTCACACCATGCTGTCTAAAATGATTCTTGGTGTCTTCATCTCCTTTTCCCTGTTTAACTCACTGGTTATCTGCCAAGGTTCTGTGCAGAGACAAAATCACGCAAGTTCCAAAACGTGCATCATCAATAACAACTTTTATGCTGGACCTAACAAGAAAATCGAAAATCTTCTCTTGGATGTGAAAAAACAACTGAACGACATTCGAAAGGATCTCAACATTTTGCCGCAGAATGAGGGAGACGACACGCAAGGTAAATGTTCCTTTTTCTATCAGATGACTGTTGTTTGTTAAATTAGAAAAGTATTCAAATTGAAGGCGTTTTTTTAGCTGCATGGAATTTTATGTTTTTTCAAGAGCAGCAAAATTTTGCCTGAAATTTAGATTTATGCGCTGTGATCTCTCATTTTAAGATAAAGGTTATTAATCATCGAATTTAGTGATTGCCCATCCCGATCTGTTTGTAAGCATGTACACCATTTACAGATGACCTCGAACCTCGACCTCCAGTTCCTAATATAAGTATGAAAGCTATATCTATTTACGGAAAAATGTCACGAACAAGTTATGCAGATGTTTACCTTATATTCGTTACCAACTGACCTGCAGTTTTGCCGGACAACAAGAATTCTTCTGAGCCGTGTACGTTTGACCAACTTGCGGCGGGAGGAGGAGGAAATACACCCACGGCCAAAAATAAAGGTAAGATTGGATACCTTAGGGATAGTTTTATGTTTTGTCACCTCGGTATTTCAGTTCAAGTCAAGCCCCACGAGTCCACTTTTTGAGACACCCATGATTAGCATTAACTACGTTAATTAACGTTGTTTTACTCAGTGATCCGTAAACTCACATTCTCCACTGACATGACGTTAATGGCTGACACGGGAAGGATCACTTTATCGGCACAAGCAAAGTGTATTCCGTTTGAGATTTACTTCCGGAAACGTGTCAGAGCTATTTCGGTTTAAACCCCTGAAGTATCTAATTTTGGATATTACAAAGCTTCGCCGATGTGAAAAAATAGACCGTCGTGTGAACATTTACATTAATGGGAAATTCGAGGTCGGTGGCTTGACAGAAATAAACTGGAATTGTGGTATAGTTTGGATCTTGTCGCAAGAGGAGGGCCGGACAGGGGACTGTCTTTAGTAGATCTATTAAGCTGGCATTCTGTCTGCCACAAGCTATCATTGGATTGGATCGTATTATAGAATCATGCTATACAGCTTTATAATTTTTAAGACTATGGTGTATTAATTAAAGCGAACAGTGTTATGTCTTACAGGGCGTTAGAAGTTGACATGTACATTGGCGTTTAAGTTTTTTTCTTTACTTCCACAATGATTTTCAACCTTATTTGCAGTTATCAAGAAGAATTGTGCCGAGCTGTATAACATTGGTCACAAAACCAGTGGCGTCTATAAAATCGACCCTGATGGCACAGGTGCTTTTCTCGTGTATTGTGACCAAAAGACAGCCGGTGGCGGTTGGACGGTGTTCCAAAAGAGGATGGACGGCTCTGTTAATTTCTACCTCGGTTGGGAGGACTACAAGAATGGTTTTGGTAATCTGAGTAGCGAGTTTTGGCTTGGATTGGACAAAATACATCGCCTGACCCTCAGCGACTGGAACAAGGTTCGCGTTGATCTGAGGGATGAAGATGGAACTAAAGTCCACGCCGAATATGAATTGTTTGCAGTTGCAAGCGAGAAGAACAACTACAAGTTGAGCCTCGGATCATATTCAGGTTTATTTTGCTTAAGGACCGTTCTTAATTTAGGGGGAGGGGGGGAGGGCTCGTAAGAGTTTTGTTGTGTCTTGATAAAATTTACTTGATCTGCTCACAAGGCTCAATAATATTCTTATCATAAACCTCCCTTCCCCCCCCCCTCCCCACCCATTGACGGTTAATTGGCTACAATTTTCTATAGTCGTTTCTTTGCATTCTGTTAGCAATGATTGCTTGCCATTCCTTTCCCTTTGTAAACTATGCGATCCCCAAATCTTGCATCCCCCTTCCCCGGGCGAGTATAGCTCTTGCGACAAAGTCAAACTTCAAAAACGAATCCTCAATTTTATAACATGACCCGTACGGCCTGGCGCGCGAGGCCATAGAAACCGTATTATGAAAACGTACGTGAGCCGGTCCGGAAAAAGCCGTCCGGTCCTGCACTTCCACAACATTGTTGAAAAAACTTAAGGAAGAAACAGAATTGTAACAAAAAGTTCCGTTTTTGCATTTTTGTGGTTCTGACTCGAAAAGACAAAGGAAAAATTTGTTTGTTGTAGAGTCTTTTTGGTGGTTGTCCCGCGAGTGCCCGTCTATCGCATGCTATCCACTTTTTTGTCAATTAAAACAAAATTTTCAAAGTCAAGTAGTGGTCAATGCTAAAATACGTTATTGTCTGAGTGGGAGGGCTGTACGGAAAAACATTTGGCTCGAGGTCATGACGCATAGACCGAGTGTTGACAGAATAAATTATAGGGACGAATTTTCAAAAGGAAAGTACAATAGCGGCTATGTTTCACCTTCGCGCAATAACAAAAAAGGTATTTTCCTTTAGTGTGATATGTACATACCTCATCCATCGCCTTTTTTTATGAGGAAACAAAAGTTATATAAATCTCATGTATATTTTCAATATATATATATATTTTTTTTATTTTTATTTTTTCACAGGGACGGCAGGCGACGCCCTAACCCATCACAATGGAATGACCTTCACCACTAAAGATAAGGATAATGACGCCCACAAGGAAAACTGTGCACTAAAGCTTAACGGAGCTTGGTGGTACAGAGGATGTGCGTATTCCAACCTGAATGGTTTGCATCATATTGGCGCACATGCATATGTCACTGATGGGATTTTTTGGAGCACCTGGAAGGGATACCAAAATTCAGTTGCAAAAGCTGAGATGAAAATCAAACCAGTCAAGTTTTAAAAACCGAAATATAATAGATTTGCATTTATCATATTTTTGGTTTCTTAAGCTTGAAGGCATTGAAGACCAAGTTCGATTAACATTCTGAAATTACAACTTTTGTTAGAGTATTGCTTAAAATAATGCAATTAGGCATGGCATTTAAGTAGAGTTTTTATCGAGCCTTAAGCATTTGGGAAATAATTAATGATAAGCATAATTAGAAGAATGATAAAGAAGGCGACATCTTGCCTTTTCTAGGGGGTTGTAAACTCCTAAAATATAACATGTGTGAAGTATGATTTTTAATTCCTTATCAGAGAGATGTTATGCATTTTAAATAAAAATATGTTAAAAAATGCTTCCGGCTCAGTTTTCGCAAATAGTCACGGTCGTTGCTTCATCTTTTCACACTTAACACTATCGTCTATTTCCGGGGGTAAACAATTAGAAGCTTCAAACGTTATTTTTCATGGTTCGATTGAAATGAAAAGAAGTAAAACTTATGGGGAAACATAAAATAACATTTAAAAAAATACTCCTGCCAAAAGTGGTCCTTACGATTTCCCAAACGAAAAGATTTTCCCTAGTTGCACATGTTTTCTGTTTTTCCTTCAGTGAGAATGGAAAAGGCTTGTCTTATGTAGGCAGAGGACACAAAAAAGGGCTACTCTTATCAAAGCAGGAATCTATAGATTAATAATCTCTTTATCAGAGATGATCCACTTTTCTTGATTTCTTGATTTTGTTTTTTCATTCTAATTGATTTGGTGGCCCATTTGAGCTGAGACAATTAGGCTTTCGTGATTACCGTGTGTTGAACTGTCACTATGGCGCCTGGAGTATAATCTAACCTAAGAGTGCGGCAAAAGTCGAAATTGACCATTCGTGCAGTCGCCCACCGAATTTTCCAAGCAAAGACTGGTGTCCAGGAATAGTCATAGCTAGAAATTGATTGGGAATACTGGAGTTGAAATTCATGCTTGTGTTTCATTTTTTCTAATTCCACCAAAAGAAGAGTGACCTGTGGTGAAAGTGTCACTTATGCCCTTGCATGCAGCTTAACGAACGTGATGTCCTCTATTGATTCATTGCCAAAGTAAATATCATAATGATTTTACTTTGATTGTCAAAAACACATCCGCACATTCATGTCTAAACATGAAAAAAAAATTTTCGATAAATACCTATGACTTCGTTTCTGTTTTTCAATTGACGCGACTGAGCCGCAAACGAAGACATATAACCGATTCTTTGTATAGAACTCGGCGAAAATGATTGTAATCGTCATTCTCTGGGTTAATGCACTGTCCTATGTTTTGGTCAGCTCCCAAGATTCAGTGACAAAACGAAAAGAAAATCCTTCATGCAACATCAACAACTACAACAGCTTCTACGCAGGGCCAAACAAAAAACTGGAAAATATTATCTTGGGCATGAAGAGACAACTGGACGAGATTCGGGAGGAACTGAGGAATCTGACAGAGAAGGACGTGAACAGTGATAAAGGTAAACTGAAGTTCTTAAACTGAAAAATAAAAATAATTTTTTGTTCATGAAGTTTTCCTTTCGAAAATTATCATACTGCTGTTGGAAGTTCGACGACACCACAGCTCACTATAACTCTAACAATCACGGCTTTCTCTTTGCCTGTCACAGCCTGCCTTTGCACGCACGTAAACTGGCGATGTATATGTGATGCAAATTAATTAGATTGCACGCAATCTTACCGATGACCATGAACAGAATAGAGGTAAATTAAAACAGCATGAGAACTCCGGAGTCCAGAATATCGTGGTAATTAATTTTAGGCGACTTTCCTCGTTTTGTTGAGCTTCGTTAGACAACAGGTTATACACTTCGCGCCTTCTTTACTAGTAATCAGTCTTAATTTTTGTCGTCAATTCTAGATCTGTGCTCGTTTTCTCAGCTTTAATGAAAATGTCGCAGAAATACTATTCTTTCGTTAATTTTTTTCTTTCTCATCACAAGACTTGCCTCACAATAAAAACTGTGCTGAGCTTTACAAATCTGGTAAAACAGTGAGTGGAGTTTATACGATCAACCCCGATGGTTCAAGTGCCGGTGCCTTTGATGTATACTGTGATCAGAAAACATCTGGCGGGGGCTGGACAGTGTTTCAGAAGAGACTGGACGGCTCCGTTGATTTTTACCGAGGGTGGAATGATTACAAAAAAGGCTTTGGTAATCTGAATGGCGAGTTTTGGCTTGGACTGGTCAAGATAAACCGCCTGACGAGCAGTGACAGATACAAGCTGCGTGTTGATCTGGAAGACACCGAAGGAAAAACAGCCTATGCAGAATATAACTTGTTCGCTATCACGAGCGAGAGAAATAAGTACCAGCTAAGTCTTGGAAGCTATTCAGGTTGGATATGAACCATAAACTGACAGTAAGAAATTATTATTTTCTGTCACTGTAGTATAATTATTATATTTTCTGACGGGCCAATCTTTTTCATTTTCTTTTAGGAACTGCAGGTGATTCTCTCTCTCTTCATCGAGGCCAGCCATTTTCAACCAGAGAACAGGACAATGACAGCTGGGAATTAAACTGTGCTGTTAAATATAAAGGAGCTTGGTGGTATAAGGACTGCCATCACGCCAACCTAAATGGTCTGTATCATCACGGGAAACACTCGTCAAGCGCTGATGGTGTCAACTGGTATCACTGGAAAGGACACAGTTATTCCGTCAGAAGAGCTGAAATGAAAATCAAGCCCGTAAACTCTTAAATCATCATCATTCATCAGTTTTTTTTCTTTTCATTTAGCCGATCAGGAGCATGAGCTGAGCGGAAGTGACGCAAAGTCAAACGGCCTTTGCAATGTGCCTTTGCGTGACTTCCGCTCAGAGGAAAGGAAACTGGAGAAACTGCTAACAGGCTGCCTCGATACCAAATAGTTAGTAAAACAAGTGGATGAAATTTTAACAAGCAATTTGATTATAATGCGTGATGGTCATAGACTTCAAGTGATGTAAAATCAATGACGTAAAATCATTGTAGAAATATAGAGGACCATATGAGTTCTGGTAAGAGATGCGAATGCCAGCGCGGAAACACGAAGCTAGGCAAATTGTAACTTAGAAAATAAAAAACCTTTTCAAATCCATCCAATCTGTTCTTAACGTGTCGTAGAAACACATAGTAACATCTCATCACGTGACTGTACATGTGTGTTTCCCCGGCTGCTGTTTGGAACTCTCTACTGACAATTACTCAAGATATTTCAAGTATTTCATTTCCCAATCTGACCAGTAAATGACGTTCAAGTATCAAATGAAAACTTTTTTATGTTATATCACAGGCTCATTCATCTCCAAGTAGCAAATTAGGCCGGGTGAAAATCAACATCTCTCCCACACTTCTCAGATACTTTGATAATTCATTTACATATGAAAAATACAACCCTGGATAAAATCGTGATTGGTTCATATTTTTGTCTCATTTACCTCATTTAATGTAGGCTTCATAAATTCTGCTCGAAGCTTTTCGTGAATAACTCAATCACGGCGAGAAATTATGCAGACCTAAATCCAAAACAGCTGGGTTTTGCTTGCCCCTGCTTTTGGAAACGTAATTGTAATTGGCTCCTAAAAACACCGATTTAGTCTACAGTATTCCGTTGTGGTAGACGATATTAAGGTTTCTGAAGGGAGGGGATAGCTCTTTTGCAACCTTGTCTGTACTTCTTCTTTTGAATGTCAAGTTTTCAGTGAAGTTTTCAACTATTCTTTAATGTAACCGTTTACTTCTCTAGGCCCTGAATTAGCATTTCATCAAACAAGCCCTCATTTTCCGGGAGCTTGATTTTTCTCAGGGGAGAAAATAGCAAGGGCAAAGCCAGACATTGACGCTTCTCTGCGGAATGCGTTTCATTTTGGGTCAGAACCCAATTATGGTAACAGCTGGTTTGGCTACCTTTCGAGTTCGCTTGGCTAGCTGATGTAGAAAACTCGACATACAATGAATTATCTTCTAACGGACAGTCTCGTTAGTGGAAAGCTCTACTTACGGACACTTTTTTCAATTTCCCTTTTTTCCTCCCAGTCAAACTCTGTATTTACACATCTCCGTAAACGAACACTTAAGAGAGTGAAAATTAGATTTTTCTTTTATTTGACGGACATTCCATGCATAATAATTGACTCTTGGCAACATAAAACATGACCTCTGACAGAGAAACAGAACAGTGGATATGGGTTTTGTCAAATTTCCATTTGTTCGCGGGAGAGCAAGCTGTATGTTCGTTCGTATGTATTACTATAGCGTTATACTGCAGAGTCACGTCACTTTCCTTCTTGTCTCTCCCGAAAGCGGAGTTCCACCTTACTTCAATTATTTGGTGTCCACTCATGTGAATAATACTCGTAGGTGGATAGCTCTACTAGCGAACACTTTTTCCAATTCCCGCGGTTGTCCTCTCAGGAGACTGTTGACTGTATAACATCCTCTCGATTAGCTTTTTTATTCGTAAAATCTTTAAACTGGAATATCTGTGGGATAAGGTGACATCACTTAGCAGAGGCTTCCAAACCTTCAGACATCGGCTAAGGATTGTAAACTGCTTTATATTAATCAGCTCTACATAAATGCGGACGATGGTTACCGGCATGTCGTGCATTGTACATGTGAACTTAATGATGGGTAGAAAAAATAGTATAAAAAGTATTTAAAAGGAGGTTATTATGATAAGAATGCATGAAATAAGCAATAAGGAAAGAGTTATTGTTGAAAATATCGAGGATATTTCGAGTGTAAAACTAGGGCGTGGTATGAACATCATTGATCTTATATTGTCATGCGTTGTTTGTTTGTTTGTTTTTTTCATTAGTGGAATTTCGTCGGAGAAGCTTCTTGTCGAGTAAAGTAAACAGAATAGGAGAGGTGAGCATACGTGCCAGGTTTGTCACGTTCATTAAGGTCTATTTGAGGTTCAGGAAAAAAATCCAGGAAGTACTTACAAGTCCTAACCCCGAGTTTAGTTGTACAATTCTGGTCAGCGTACTTTTTTGTA